AGGTCGTGAAGCGTGGAATAAACTTCAGCTGTGTTTCGATATTTGTGTTGTGCTGTCCTCCTTGTCCCCACTCTCCAGGGTTAAAATAATGTCTACAGTCAACCAGCTCGCCTGCAGCCTTGCTTTAATTTCATTACCAGTATAAGCCTTGTTTTCATATTACGTATGAGATGCAAAATCGACCAAAGTGCTTATGGTTATCAGCACCGAACTTTTGATCCAAACCTCTAGACAATGTGAAAGCAAGTTATAGGGTGAACTGGACTGCTTTAACTTGAAATGAATAATTTAGTCCAACTAAAACTCTAAGCGAAACTGAAACAATCATTGAACCCCATGCACAGCAAAATGCCTGTCGTTCGAGTCGCTGCTCGTTTTGACGGTCACAAATGTTTTATGCTTGCTTTGAGATACCGTTCAGTTATAAATAACCCTTTGTCTTAATGTTGCATACCTACCTTTATGGTCTGGGCTTCGCAAGTCTCCGCGAGACGTTAAGCTTGACCTGTCAACTTTCCCGCTAAATTTAGCGGGTAGTTCTAAATGACATTTCTAATATATCAGTGTTAGTGACAAAATAAAAATGGAGCAAAATCATGGGCATGTTTTGTTAACGTGAAAAGTTTTGAATGGGATGTCATGTAGAATGGCAGCGTAGCGAAACCAAACGTAAACACAGCTGGCTACAACATCGGAAAGCGCTGTGGCATCGCCTGCTTCGTGGCTAGCAGACGACCAAGGAGGAGTGTGATTATAAACTGGAACAACCAATCTCCGAAAGAAATCACAATCAGTCGTGTGACGTCCTGAGAACGAAATCAGAGCCACTCGCGTGTTATGGACATCTGTATGACCTGTGTTTATGATAGCACACTACATAATCCTAGACCCTTTTAAATGCAATAGCCTCCTCCTCTTTTTCTCTTTCCTTTTTTTTTTTTTTTTTTTTTTTGGGGGGGGGGGGGGGGGGCAGGTGTGGCGGTTGATGGGTATACACCAACTCAACTCTCCTACGTCACGCCGCGGTGGTGGCGCGTCGGACGCACTTCCGGTCTGGGGCGGTGGGCAGAAGTCGCCGTGCGAGACATGCATTCTTGTGTTCTTTTCGGAGAAACCAGACAAAAAACCTGCGTTCTCGTCAAAATGCTGTGACGGGGGCTGTGCCAAAAGAGTCTGGAAAGGTTTGAGATCACTTTTAGTGTGTTCCTGCCCGCTCCGTTCGTCCGAGTACGTGGATAGTAGCCGTGAAAAGGGTAAACCATACGCTGTCGAACTACGATTGCTTGTGCGGGCAGCACTTTGTGATCGCCAGATGTATTTGTTTTGTTCCAACATGAACGAGAGAAAACCGCCAAGTTGTCCGGGCCCCCCGCGGGTTCAGTGCGTCTTCAAATTCACACGGCCGCCTGATCGTTCAAACTTTCGTCTGCTTTTTCGAACTTGTCTGCTTTTTGTCGTCTGCTCGTTCAAACAAAAGCGGCCCGTTAACCAAACTTTGACCCGGTGATTGCAATAAGAAATAATTGCAGGCCTCAAACGACTTAAGTAGGCTCGGTGTAAACAGTACATACAAGATGTTGATCATTGGTACCAATGACCATCACCGACTTGTTACGCTTGGTCTGTTTCCGCTTCCGAATTTCAGTATCGACGTCGATCATCGGCGCTACCTTCTACACTTTTGCAGCACGAGCGACGTCGCGACCGAAAATATCTAGAAGATTGTCATCGTGGTTTTGGCGTCCATTCTGTGGCGTTCACGCCAATGAATCGCCACACGTCAAATTATTTACGCAAAGTTTAGCGGTGTAACGAGCCTTGATACTTTCGCTCAGGCGATTAAAGTAATAAGACATTGCTATGGGGACGTAGATTCGACAAATCCAACGCGAAAAAAGAGTATGCAGACTCACACAGACGCCGACAACGTGACATTCCAAAGTTTTGTGGACGCGGGACGCGGTGCTTCTTGCCGGCACTCCATTTCGCATGCGTTCGAACTGTCGTCTGCACTTTCAAACTTGGCTGCTTTTTGTCGTCAGCGCGTTCAAACAACAGCGTCCCGTAAACTAAACGTTGACCCGGTAATTGCGATAAGAACTAAGGGCAAGCCTCAAAACACTTTTGAAGGTTGGTTGGGGTAAGTAGCTAAGTGTAAACAGTAGATACAAGATGTTGATCATTATTACCAGTGGCCATCACCGATTTGTAATGCCCGATTCTACTTGCGGTTTTCAGTATCGACGTCGACCATCTCAGCTAGAATCCACGCTTTTGCAGCCCGAGCGACGTCGCGACTGAAAATAGCGAGCAGAATCTCATCGTGGAGCCAGGTTTTAGCGCCCATTCTGCGGCGTCCACGTGAAATGAATCGCCGCAAGTCATATTATTCAAGCAAAGTTTTGCCTCTTTAATTTTGCTGAAGCCGCTCAAGTGGTCAGACATTGTTAGGAGGACGTATAATCAACAATTCCAACGCGGAAAAGAGCACGGGGACTCCCACCGAGACCGAAAACAACGTAATGCCATGGTTCGCTTATGGGCGACGGCGGGCTTCTTGCCCACCGTCCACCGCGCATGCGCGGCGCCGGTGGCGTCCGCTAGGGGCGCTCCGGTTTGTTTGTAAACATGAGTTGGTGTATAGGAGCACCTTCAGGCACTCAAAGCGGTGCTGGCAGACCTGCTGATTTGTATCCTGCAAATTACCAGATCCTGCTATCATGCAGCTTCCGCAGTTTTTCAACATCTAGAAGCTCGACAGTGTGAAAATATATTTTGGAATGTATCTTCTTCTTCTGAACGCGGAGGTAATCGGCGCGAAAAACTCTGAGTGAGCTATGTGCTGCATGCATCGAGTGCACAACGGCGACGCCTGTCGCCTTTCCCGTTGCTTCGTCTGCGCCGCCAAACCATTGCAACTTAAGCTTGAAGGCTTTGCACTGCTGTATCGACCGAGGAGATCCCCAGCTGACGACCAACGCCTGTGGCAACGAACCAGGCAGAGTCAAAGTTCACGTGCAGTCAAGCTCTGCATCTGTGCCGTTCCTGGGCATACACTTACAAACACACAAACGTCCAGATGACATCACTGACGCGCCGATACCAACTATGCCACCGTGCATTTCAAAAGAGTCTAGCTGAACTGTTGCAGTAATCACCCTTGATGCACCCAGAGTTGTGGATTCTCCAAATATTCTTCAAGGGGAGGCGTTGACGAAATATTTAGGTCGTTGTTACGTTTTTAGACGTAAGGAAAGAAGCGTATGGACAACTGTTCGTGCCGGAGTTAGGCTGAAGTCTACTCGAGTTTCGTTTATTAGAACTGTAGAGAACTGAGGCACGACTCCTCGGGTACAAGGGTACGGGGCGCTTATGTTACGGCGGAGCCGAGGGGGGTCTGTACGTTTGCCCCCCGCGGCAAACGTGAGCTAAAATGTCTTACTAGCTCCTGACAGCGAGAGCGACCGCGAACCATTTATACCGCGTGGCAAACGTAAATGAACCTCCTCCTTCGCATCGCCGTAACATAAGCGCCCCGTAGCCTTGTACCCGAGGCGTCGTTCTTTTATTCCTTACAGTTTTAAGAAACGAGACGTGCGTAGTCCAAGCGCGATTCAGGAGCGTAAACTTTCATAAGTGCCCGTAAATAACCACGGGAAAAAAAAATCTGGAAATATGTTGTTGTTTTTTTACAGCAAGCTACAACACATACATTTCTTATTTGTGGCAAAAAAAAAACTTTTCTTAGAAAAAAAAAAAGATACCAGCAGCGGGGTGGAGCGGAAAATACACCGCAATCAAGACGCTTCGCAACCGCCACTTCGACCGCTCAGAACTTTTGTACCAAGCAAATTATGCAACATGTTTTTGCACATTCCTTTTTGCCTGGCTTAAAAAGAGTTGTACCCCAGAGTTTTAATAAAATCGAGACCGGGTTTTTTTTTATTTTTTTTAATATAGTATTTTTTTGAAAATGTGTTTTTTCAAAACATTTTTGATGTTTCTATTTTTATTGGAAGTTCACACATTGCAGGTAGGATTTAGATGCCCTGGCCTATATTATGTATAGTTTTCAAAATCGCTAATGCCATACATATTGAGGTAGAAGGCCTGAAAGTTAGTGTATTTGTTGCACCTGGTCTAAAGTTATGATTTTTTTATATATATTTTTAATTCACAAACCACATATTATTTCCATGCAGTTGACTTAAATTTTGGTACGCTACATGAACCAGGAAACGTTTTTGGCCTACCACTCTTTGCCTGCCTTCCACAGGACCGCAAAGGTGGCAACCAATGCAGTCCGCGGTGAGAGCCGGGCCGTCGCGCAATCTTTAAACTTTTTTTTTTTTCTCGTAGTGAAAACGCGTTTTTGAGAAAAAAAAGTTCAGTTTCGTGCGATTTATTTTGTGTGTACATAAAATATAAAATAGCCAGAAAAAAAAAAATGTCGAGTGGACCTGCAGGTTCGGACTCTTGTGGAATCACCCAGATGACATACGCCTTCTGAAAGTGTTCTTGTCGTCTTCGTAATGCTTCCCAAGAAAAGGGAGCGATCCGACTCCGACTCAACGTAGTCGTTAGCCAATAAAAACTTTTAGCAAACCTTTACCGTGTTCCACGTACCTCACTACCAGAGCATTTGAAGCAGGCTTTTAAGTGCACTTAAAAGCATGCATCAAAGACTCCGGTTTTGCTGTGCGCGGAGCACGGTAAAGATTTGCTAAAAGTCTGTAATGAGACGGCGGAAAAGAAAAAATAGCGTCTTGACATAGAAAAGAGGAGCAAAGTGGTCTCGTCTGCTACTACCAAGGAGCGAATAAGAGAACGAAGTTCGTCTCAATTTAATCAGCGGAATATGGCCTTCACTCCAGAAACACCGAAATGCTATCGCATTTTGACGAAGTCTGCAGCGAAGCATCGCAGAAACACAGCCCCGTTTTCAAATTAAAAAATTGCAAGCAGACACAGTGAACAGAAAGTAACACAAGCTCTCTATATTGTATGACAAGAGTTTGTACCACCTTTTTTTATTTTTTTCCTTTTACAGAATCGCTTTTCTCTTTTTATGACATTGCTGCTATCAAGAATTTTATTGGTGTCCTATTTTTTGTGATCCGCATTTTTAAGCAACTCTTTCAGGTATATATGTATATATTTTAATGCAACCTCCATTCAAATTTTTGCTCGTCCAACTTCCTTGCACTCTGTAACTCCGGGTGCTAAGACGTCGCTCTACTTTCCGATATCCGACGAGGATGACACCTCCTCGCGATCCAGAGGACGTCTCCTGGTAGGCAGTGCGGAGCGAGGGCACCGAAGTGACGTCACGGGTCCGTCCAATCAGAGGAAGGCAAGGGCGAGGCAGAGCCCAGGGGCGATTGTCAGTTCTCTGCTGAAGGCTGCTGTGGCGGCTGGAGCGGAAGGGCTGGCGAGCACCGGCACGGACGGGACGAGACAAGAGCGGGTGAAGATGCCTACTTCTCCTTGTTCTCCTCGGGGAATGGTCCTGCCAGAACGTTCTTTACAAATTCTGAAACAGAAACATCACCACAACAAAGTCAACTAAATGCTGTTGTTGTTTTTTTTTTCTTTTTTTTTTTTTTTTTTTTTTTTTTTTTTAACAGCGAACAGAGGACACGTTTGTTTCAGTCGGCGGGACAAGAAGGTAATCCACTCACTATGAACAAACCGTTGCGTCCATGTGGCAGTATAACGATCGTCAAGTAATTTACGGTAGCTCACTGAATGAGAACGGCAGAGCTTATCTTTCGAACGCCCAGCCCCCAGTACCATAGCCTCCTATATATTGACAAAGCCTGGCAGATCGCCACGAGAAGCGGCCGCCGAAATAGAATAGTTGGAGTGGCAGACAACGGATGAGAGGAGAGCCACGTGACTGGCGCCCCGCTGCGGCGAGACTCCGAAACACTCTTCTCCCGAGCGAACAAGTGTATTTTGGGTCCTCGCCGCAGCAAAAGCTGTGCGCTGTCGTTCAGGTTCCCCGAGAAATGGCTCTTTGATGTTCCGTGCTACCAGATTTTTGAGCTCCAAATCTGCGACCGGGCACTCTACAGATCCGTCGTCGAACTGCCAAGCTTTGTGAGTATAGAGGAGGCAATGCCAGTACGCGCTCGCTGCCTTCCGTCGTGCTTTGGCTGTACGCGCGCGCTCGAGGTGCACGAGACGCTGACGCGTTCTCGAAGGTATAGAAAATTGCACTGGAGCCGGGTATAGAAGCTTGCGCTGGAGACTCATACTGCAATCTCATTGGCAACAGAGCGATAATGAGATACCCGGGACTTGCTAGGCCTTGCATTTCTTAAACTGTCTTTGACAATATCAGACATCGCTGAATTTGAACTTTGAACAGCTAGAGAGCCATTCTTTTTTTTTTTTTATGCAATAAAATTGTAATTTTTATTGCGTTTACTAAAACATAAAATGAGTCATGAACATAGGATTTCATGTTTTTAAAATTTATTTTCAACAAATTCAGCGGTGCTTTTGTTTCTTTGTTTTTCGGGCTTACTTTTTTTTAATGAGATTCGATGCTTTTTGGTATTCATTTTTGGTTTCAGTCAAAAAATCGGTGTATGTGGGGCCGAAAATAGGGGCACGGACATGGAATTCCGCAACTTTCAGGAAACACACACGTGGCCCGAATACTTGGAAAATGTCTCCTTACCAATTATAAAAGAAAGCGAAAAAGAAAGATCCATCTGTGAACCCTTAGGGAATACGTTAGCATGACCTTTGGGAAACGCTAACGCTCACTCCTTCACTTTTCTGTGTTGTTTTTTTTTCTTTTGCTTGCTCTATTTTTTGTTGCCTCTTTTTGGCTTCGTTACGGGGTCAGTGTTTGCATTTTCGAAAGAGCCATGCTAACGCATTTCCTAAGGATCCACCAATGGATCTGCCTTTCTTTTTTGTAGCACAAATCAAGGCACATCTGCAATCAATAGCACACCTGCAAGTTCAGACTCGCCCCAGCCTCCGCGCGCCCATTGGCTTCCACCCTATGACGTCGACTCCCTGTCGCCTTTGTCCTTCACAACTCTCCTCTTGTCTACGCGGCGCGCTTCCCTTTCCACTGTTGTGTCAACAGACGAACGCCGTCAGCTTTTCCCTGTCACGTTGGTACCAATGCTCGTGAATTAATAAAGTGTGTGGTTCCGAAAGAAGGAACGCGCTCGCGGAAAGTTTGTTGGGGGTCATCTGTTCCGGATGCGCAGAAAACAAAGCTGCAGATAAAGATTTCTTGCCGTGATGCTCAGTTTTTACTCCTCGGAGACTGCTCAAATTCATTTTTCTTTTTTTTTTCCCGCGATTTTCGCAAAACAGGCTTGGAGGTTAATTTTCGGGGCTCATCGGTATTTACCGAAAACACAGAACCCTAGTCATAAAATTGCATTACAAGTTCGTGCACACCAAAAATATTTTCTCTGGATTGTGAGTGTTTCGAAAGCATTACCAATAACTTTGCCATTCATTCCCGCATTAACGAGAAAGTACTTTGATACCCGGGAAACGTCGACACTCTTTATTCAAATAACTGACCGATTCACCGCAGAAATAACAGATTATGCGCCGAGAAACTGACAAAGAGACAAGAGCGCGCGGGGACGCCAACGCCGAGCTCTGGTAGGAATGATTAGTGGGCAGACCTCGAGCTATAGCTGCCTTTGTCTCCACTGCACTCGTGGAATGCGTTCGCATGCGAAAGCCCAACGCCGGACGCCCCGTCCCGCGTTGTAGCGCGTTCGACGAGTGCTGTAGAAACAAAGGCAGCTATAGCTTGAGGTCTACTCACTAGTCATTCCAATCAGAGCTTTGTGTTGTGAAGTCCCCGCGCACTCTTGTCTCCTCCTCTCCCTCGCTTTCTCGGTGCATTCAGGCTCGCGTTTGGAGGTGTTTCGCTGAAAATTGTATTATAATAAACAGTAACGTACTATTGCCATCCAAATCACAATTACAAACTAATTCACTACTTCCTGATCCTTCGGTACTATCTCCGTTCTTCACTACTCCGAAAACTAATTTGATCTGCACTTCCATTACTGCAGTGTCATTACACGTTGTTCAGACTTTGTGTCTTCTCTGACCGCGGGATCCTAGACACATATGTATGCCTGAAATAAATTATTGCGATTAGTCTTTAATTTACGTCGGTCGCCAGCTAAATTGTCTTATAGTCGCCGGCAGCTTAAAAACCACTGGGCGTGGCTTAATGCCTTCACACTTCGTGACTCGTTTTTCGGTGTTCTTATCGACTAATGCCACAATCTCATTGGCTGAGGAGCGATTCTAACGTGCTCACGATTTTCACATCCTGCTTAAGCGGACAGCAACTACATTAGCGCGCAATTCATGTTCAAGAGCAGTTTCGCATGCTTCTCTTTATGCATACATGTAGCAAAAAGCCGGATTGATTATGTCAGTTGTATGGCTTGGGTATATACAACATGTAAACTAACGCTTTTAAGGCACTTTAGATGGCCCGCAAAAATTGGTTTCTCAACGTATCGAGCTGCGATTTGCTACAGAGGTGCAAGCAGGTGGTGGAAGTTTACAGGGAAAAAAATAAGGGAATGATCCTACCAAATTCGAAAGAAAGAAAAACAAAACAGAAACCTTTTCTGGGCAATCTTAGCCGCCACTTCTCAGAGGATGCACGCGTAGTGAGAAATGCCGCCGACAGATGGCGTATGCCGCGTCGAGAGAGCGCCGGCCCGTTCGCGTTCTTTTGCGGGATCGTCTGCGATCATAACCCGAATTGGCCGGCGCTCCCTCGACGCGGCATACGCCATCTGTCGGCGGCACTTCTCACTACGCGTGCATCCTCTGAGAAGTAGCGGCTAAGATTGCCCAGAAAAGGCTTCTGTTTTGTTTTTCTTCCTTTTAAACGAGGTAAGTTCATTCCTTGATTTCTTTTTCACTGTAAACTTCCACCACCTACTTGCACCCCTTTAGAAAAGCGCTGACTGAGAAACCGATTTTTGCGGGCCGTCTCAAGTGCCTCAAAAGCGCTAGTTTACAAGCTGTAGTGCGGTGCGGTGGAGCGGGAACGCGAAGAAGTGCACGTTTTGTCTCTCGGAGACGGCGGCAGCTCCCCGGCGCACGACTGGCAAGCGACCGATCACGACCGGGCAAAATGGATTTGGCCTGCTTCGAGATTGAAATTAAGGATCTAGACTTCGTTTCACCTTACATTGGACCGCAGAAGACACTACGAGCCATCCTAACAATTCCAGCGCTGCAAACGTATCACGCGACTAGGCGCGTCGCTGCGCCCTTTCCTCAGGTCACGTGACACTCACACGGCATCGGATTGGTTCCGATGGCTCGTAGAGTCAACTGCGGTCCATTCTAAGGTGACACGGAGTATAGGCTGCTATACTGCTTCACCCAGAGCAAGCAAACCATACGGGCTGCATGAAATCAAGGACGGCGCGTTTCAGAAAACCTTGTTACGACTATGGCGACCTAGTTAGAAAGCACCTTAGAGTTGCATAATGTTTCGTTGGGTTATTCTTTTCATCCAGACACATCACCCTCCCGAAAACTGTTTCCTTAGTTACATCTAGTACGTGTATAGCTGTGTAAATTAAAACTAACCCATGTTAGCAGAAACCGTCTTCTCACGGGAATGTCTGCTGTCTAACAAATCTGGTGTTTTATTCTTCTTTTTTTTTTTCAATTGCAATAAGAGGGCAAAGAGGTTTGAAACGACAGGTAGTAATAGAAAAAATAGTTTAAAGTGGTTTTAGCACTCCGTAATTATTACTCGGGACCACCAAATAAAATGTCACCAGGAACAAGAAAATTAAACAACATGCGCCTCAACGAAAAAAGAATTGTGTTGTGTGTATGTTTATACAGCCTAAACTTTAGTCTGCATCAACAGGCGACTTGTCTCTCAGCTGTAGATGGGAAATTTAGCCAGTGCAGCACAACCGCTGGGCTGGGGTCTTTTACGCGCATCTCCCAGTAGTGATACACTAAACATAGTTACCGGTGCGCACAAAAGGGCAGGGACAGGAAAGAGGAACTCGCAGACGACAATAGAGCTCACTCTCACAACTCATTCAACTCATGTACTGACGAAAGATGAAAAGAAAGAGGTAGAGAAAGCAGAATTAGCTCGAGCACTGGTCACACAAGCACGAGAGACCACGGGCCCGAGGGACCACAGGTCCGAGCTCTGCCTGTGTGGCCAACGCTCGAGCTAATTCTGCTTTCTGTACCTCTTTGTTTTCATCTTTTGTCGATACATGAGTTGTGAGTCTGCGCTTGTCTGTCGTCTACGTGTTCCTCTTCTCTGTCCCTGTCCCTTTGTGCACAACTGTAACTATATTTAATGTACACCAACTCGTCCAACAGTCTACATTACTACTGTAGTGATACACGACCGCACGCCAATACGATGCTCATCAAGATCCAAAGGGGCAGGGGTCGGGATTAACCCCAGGATCCCTGGGATCTGCAGCACGAGCTTTCGCTCCACGTGCTCCGAACTGGTGTGCGCTAGACCACTCGGCCACCGATCCCCCCGCCTGAACAAACTATACTTGGTTTCAGCTTAAGTCCAGACGCAGCCGACGCTACGAGCTGATAGGATCAATGAGACAGCATCAAAAACACACCGCCACGTTTCTCCAAGTGTTTTATGATCGCTTCACCAATCATAAACAGAAAAGGTCTAGTGACTTGCGCTTTTGACGCTGCTCGATTGGTTCCATATCACCTCGCAGCGTCAGTTTCCTCTAGACTCAAGCTGAAACGAAGTATAGACCTTGCTCTTGCTCATCACTAGGTGCCCCTCACGAGGCGCAGTGATTGGTTCATCGCACCTTTCACAGCGGAGAACACGCGTAGGTATGTTGGCGCTATTCTTGTAATGATTAAAAGAGCGTCGCTGGGTTTCGATAAAGAAACAAGAAAAAACTACATTCAAAGGACAAATGTATAGATACAACAATTCCGATATGGACGACGCTTTCGAAGTACGCTTGTTCAAGTGTTCAAAGTCTTTTTTTTCTTTAGTTTGCTGCGCGGTTTCAATCTGGCAGCGACCTGATTTCAGCGAATGTCGCGAACCCTGTCGAGCCGTTTAATACTGGCTATAATTTCCAGTGTAGCGACCGGCTTCAGTAAAAAGAATATTATTTCGGGTGCCCTGCATTTTATTATATAATATAAATATATAAACATGCGATATTCTTTCGGCAAGAGCTTTCATGAAGTGGACGACAACGAAGCAAAGCGCTCGAAAGTGAATATGTTGAACGTAAAATGAACATAAAAATGTGTACTAAAAAAATGGCTCGGGCAACTCTACATTTCTGCGGCTCCTAAACTCGCTTTCGTCAGTCCCTGGCTTATCTTTCATAAATAACCTTTCATGAACGTGCATGTTCGAGAAGAGTGCAAACACTCGGCCAGGGCTTTGAATCCGTGTAATAAAGGCAATCCGAAGAAGAAACAGACATACAACAGTAAAGGAAAGTTTTTTCTCTTGTCTCTATGCGTCCTTCCGCCTCGGCGTGGCCTGTCCGATTGTAGTGGGACCACGTCATCGACTGCCCCCCATTCAGTCAGCAGGAGATCAATACTACTTCTTTATGGGAGCATGACGGCTATCGATTTGGGACTATTGTGGAACGCTATGTTTAGAGCATGCGCGAGACGTAAGGTCGAAAGCTTCCTTGATTCGATCGCGCAATTTCTTACAGCGCGCACAGCACTTTCAAAGCTACTGGCGGGATTGATTAACCCAATGGGATCTCATTCGCACGACAGCGTGCGCAAATAGAACGCAGAATTCACATTCGCACCAGCATCTTTGACAGCATTGCACATTATGAACGGGATAGTGTATAGTTAACACTCTAAGGTGCGCTTAAATATGACGTCAGGTGATGCTGTTGCATAGAATGACGCGAACAGGAATAACAAAGTTCGTCCCTTCTATGGCTCCTGACACTGAAAATAGTTGATCAAACGAGCGAAACCGGTAGTTCTGCTCTTCTGCTTTCTCTCTCTCTCCTCCTTTTTTTTCATTGTGTTATGTTAGGTTGACGTGGTCTTTAGGAGATTCCATCGTTTTACATTTGCAACAAAACATCCTTAAGACTGACGAATGAACGCGACGATGACGGCGGCGTCTTCACATTTCGTAAGCTGCGTTGTTAGGAGTGCAAAACGAGCCCCTCCCACACAGCCCTCCACTCTTTCCACCTCAGCAGCGCGAATGCGGGAGAGGAGGTAAAGGAGGGGTCCACCACCTCTACAGCGTTTTCTCTATTCATTTCGAAAGAGTGAAGGTCTTTCTGAGAGGAGCTTGTGCCGCATACTCTTAATCTACCACCGGGCAGCCTGAAATTTAGCGCATACCCCCAGTGTTTTGTGCACTCTTAATTAGAGTTAAGCTTCTAACAAACGACAGAGGAACGACGGCAAAAAGCTCCGCGTACGGCCTTTTCTAGGGCGTGTCCCATCTGTGGAAGAAGCGACCCCTCAACATACGATAAATGCTGTAAGGAAGCGCACTGGTTGGGCGTCTGTCGTTATGGGAACGGCTATAACTTGCCTTATCTTACTGAGTACTCGTAGCTTTGTTCGGCAGAAAGTCGTAGCCTAGCAACCTGCTTGTAAAAGACCTCTGCCGGAAATTTATCTTGATTTCTTCGGTTTGTTGCATGTCGGAATGCATGCAGTAAACGAATCCAAAGTACGGTTTGAAAAAAAAAAATTATTTTGGCAAATTATGTATGTATGTATTAAATTATGAAAATATTACACTTTTTATTGCTGAAAGCGTATAAAACTTTGAGGTATAAGCGTGTTTTCGCTGACGTAATTTTGTCCATCAACTTGTTGTTACGGGCTACTTTGCACCTTCCGAAGATGAACATTTCAAGGATTCACATGACACCCTCAAATGCTTAGTGCGCGCAAACTTATGTCTCATCACACTGAGATTAAAAAGCAAAATGGTGGATTAACACTATGTGAATAGACAAAGCGAGGGTGACGAGAAGCAAACGGAGACACTTACGTTCGTACTTGATGAAGCCCTCCTCGTCTTCCTGCCCCGCACAGGCCTTCATGATTTCGTCGACCTCGTCGTTGGTCAACCGCTCACCTACAGCGAGAACGACAACGTCGTTAAAACTTAGCTTCGTTGGTACGTGCGTTTGTTTATCAATGGCTCTCAATGAACTGAGGTTCTCTCGTGCTCATGCAGCAAGGAAAGGCAAAGCATCCGCACTAACGAGACTGAAGACAGCCGTCGGCAGGAGTTTCCCCAGGAAGTAAAATCAGGGGGGGAGGGGGGGAGAGAGGGGGAAGGTCTGAATTTCCAGGGGTCTGGGGTAGGCACAATGAGGCAATACATGACAGTATAAACATTTAATAAAGAATGCGTAATTTCCTAAAGAAAGCACAAAGTAAAGCAAAAGGCAACGTCGAAAAAGAAATATCAGTCACGGTATTAATACTGTGGTACCGCAATGAATGGCAATAACGAATATATATTCCACGGAAAAACCTCTCCTCTGTTCTCCTTCACGTCAGTGGGAGGAGGAGCCAAGGAGCTAAGCAGCGCGGAGGGGAGGCGACGGAACGGCGCGTGCTCTGATGCCCCTGTGACCTTAGATCCATATAGGAACCGCTTTTGAGTCAGTGCGCTCAAGAAAACAGTGGTTTGGCGCAAAATAAATATTAAGGGTTTTTTGTTTGTTTTTTTAGCGGAAGATTTTTTCAAGGGCACCTCAGATAAGGGCACCTCAGACAAGGGCACCTCAGACAAGGGCACCTCAGACAAGGGCACCTCAAGGGTCTGAGGGCAACTCAGGCAAACTAGAGGTGGTGTACACCCATCCCCTTCCCCCCTAGGCTGTGGGTAGTGAAATCACTGTGCGTGGGTAGAACCAGTACCACCTAAAAAAACAAGGCCTGCACCACCCCCCTAGACGTCATCTCTAGTTGATCCACGTAGCGTCACCTAGAGATTCCATCAGCATCGCCTCCAGCGCGTTTAGCAGCGCGCAAATGCTAGAACGTGGAGACAGATGTGTCTGCCGCTTTGTTGGAACTCTCGTCGTGTTTGGCGCTTGGCGGCTTGCACAGCTTTGATTTCACGCCCGTAGCATTCTCAGTTTTATTTTAGCACCCGTGAGGGGTCTAATCTCTCTGCGTGAGTAATGACTGGAAGGTGAAAGTCCAGGCACGCTGGTTCAGATTAAGCGTTCAAGCAAACCTGATAGAGCGGTAAAAGAAAGAAGGCTGAGATAAAGATCACATCTGTCGTTCTCATGGTCATCACTCTGTTTAGACTTTTTTTTTTTGTGCACCTTGTTTTTGGTTAACAAAGTTTCTTATTGTGACTTTCTCGTGAAGTTACAAAAAATAATGGGTTAAATGCAGTAACTTCGAATTTGGTTCTTAGCAGGCTTTCAATAAGAACAGAAAAGCGTATTTCTTTGTCCTGGAATCGGTTTCTTGTATAAAGTTTTAAATGCGTAGCACATTGGAATATAAAAAAAAAAATATTTTGTTTTTGTTTGAAGAGATTTCCCAGTCACACAATTCCAGAGCACACAACCCAAGTAATTTCAACTTTCTTTAATCGAAAGGTGAAGAACGTTTTGGAGCTAAAAGTGCCAAGATAAGTAGAGACCAAGACCAAAGAAACCGAATAAAGTGTTTGCTTATGTATTCGTTGCATCTGCTTTATATATATATATATATATATATATATATATATATATATATATAAGTTGAGGAGTTCCAGGAAAGGCCTATACTGCACCAACGTTTCAAGCGGGGACCGGCTTTCTTCAGGGTGGGATGGTGTGTGAATTTTTTTTTTTTTTCACACACCATACCACCCTGAACAAAAGCGGTCCCCGCTTGGAACGTTGGTGCAGTAAAGGCCTTTCCTGGAACTCCTCAACACTTTCGTTTTAAGTCCAACCGGACATAATATATATATATATATATATATGAACAAATATGTGCAGATGAATGAACCGTACTTAATCCAATGAATCAAAGAATCAAAGTTTCCAGGAACCAGCCGAAAGCCAAAAATTGGCGGAGCCAGGATATATATATATATATATATATATATATATATATATATATATATATATATATATATATATATATATATATATATATATATATATATAAACTCTTTCCTTGTTGGAAATGACAATTGCATAAGTCTCAGCAGGGCAAGAAAACATGGATTTACGCGTGTTCTGTCACCCTCTACTTGTACACGTCCTTTGCAGTGTGTTTTATAACGCGTAGCCATCCAGTAAATCAGATTATTTGTTCTAAAGTGAAATGAACTTACCCAGCGAGAGCATGACGTGGGACAGCTCTGCCGCCATCATCTGTCCGTTCTCCGCCTTGTCGTAGACCTTGAGTCCCTCCATGAAGTCGGCGTGGGTGCCCATGTCTTTGTCCTTCTTGATCTGGCTGTAGATTGGCAGGAACTCCTCCAGGGTCATCTTCTTCTCGCCTGGGCCACGGAAGACGAACGCAAAAATTGATGCGAAGTTATGTACACGCAAAGTAAAGTCAAGTCCGATTCACAAAAGGCAACTTCGCAGCTGCGAAAAAAAAATAATTACCTACGCATTTGTTTTTTTTTTTTTTTCGCTTCACAAGCAACGTCGCAACAGACCGATCTCAGCAGTCAGTTTGACTACGCTACCGCTGCCGCATCGCATCGAGAGAACTTTAGTTTTTTTCTGCACATATACGACAACCTTGCTGGAGCTCTGTGCGTATACATCACGAGACGGAACGAGCTCTTTCGGGCACTTCCATCAACCTCGTCCGAACCAAAGTCATGGCGGCGTCAGGTATGTGCCGAACGCTTGGTGAGATCGGTCTTGTGAAACGGGCTTTAGACTCCATCTACACTTCATCGCAAAAGCTTCGTGCTCAGCTATCATAAGCACAGATGCGCCGCAAGCGCGGCTCTCTTTCTCTCTGAATCCGCGGGCTTGTATCAATTCCTCTTGTAGAAGAAATGACGCAACTACGGAAGACCACGAGTCCGGCGAGCTTAAATTGGTGGAGCTTTCGCTCGCGCGCGCTCCACGGTAATTCAACAACGTCCGGACATAGTGTAGATTATGCGCCGCATATTGCGGGCCCTGGGGGCGCACGCTCAAAAGTGATGGCACGAGCTCCCGCTGGTCACGCCAATATCTCGCGTACGATCTACGAAAAGCCCCTAGTGTTGCTTCTTTCCGCGTATACAATAGCGTTACTTCACCGGCAGCTCCAGCCGTTGATCACGCGTGAACTGACCCAAAGGCGTCCGCACAGGCGCCTTTGGTTTTATCTCGAGCCGCGGTCCCTCTGCTCACTCATCATAGAGAGGGGCCAGTCTGCATACACTCTTGCTTCCTTGTCATGACACGATGATCGTACAAAAGCTGTATCTGGACATGTTCTAAGCATACACATGTAATAAGCAAAACGCGCCTCGAACATCTTTGAGGCGAGTCCGCACGTAATCCTGTCGTCATGTCTGAAGAGAAACACCGTGTCCTTTGTAAGATATACGGGTAGCCTGACTCCGGCTTAAAGCTCGAGGTGACAAGGAAAGCAGCATGCGCACCCTCCACCCGGCGCGTTGGGAAACCCGACGACTGCGTCCGAGCTCCCGAGTGCAGCGCGCGCCACGGGAGGGCGGACCCACCTCTCTTGGTGGTTCCTCCGTTCTTCTCGACGAGCGCGTTGGTGGGACGCAGGTCGAGGGACCGCAGCAGGGACCCCAGGTCGGCGCAGTCCACCTTGCCCTCGGCGCACATGTCGTAGATCTCGAAGTGCTCGCGGGCCACTGGAGGGAGGGAGCAGCGAGAAGTCGAGATGTCGCATCGCTTTAAATATCCGCAGTCTGGCTACAATGACTCCCTTCGTGGTCGAAAACCGGCTGTGTGCCTCTGTGAGCGCATAAAGCCCGCCTCTCTGTTCAGCTGCACTAGTGACACAAAAACGCAAGGCTATCTACAATCGTAAACGATCGGATTTGTTAAGCGGAGTCGATCAGCAGATCTCGCTCTAATCTGTGCATCTTGAACTATAGTCACTCGAAAATCTCGGTGACAGGCTCTACCGTAGTTATATTTACCGCGAACAGGTGTCCTTTAAAGGGGCGGTGCAGTGATATTTAATTGGAATGTTTTTTTCACTTCACACGAGCTTTCACTAGTGGGACTTCAGTATACTCGAACGCAACGCCACTGGCCAAAAAATTCCTTTGTTGCGGTGTAATTTCAAGGACAAAAGAGAGCGTTTTCATTCAGTCTCTCCTTCGCAAAACTTGATGACGTAAATGGGGGATCGTAGTATCCTCCATTGACGATATTTGAATGTGGCTCATAGATTGAATTGGAGCCGAGCATTGCGTGGGCACTCGATTTGGCTCGTGATAATCGATAGCTCGAGATGCATTCGGGTAGCGGTCCGTGTCCAATCGCTGCAATGACGACAGTAGCCGAATCATAACAATGTCTGCAACTCAGCGCGTGTCCTGTGCTTTGCCGACCCCAGCGCGTGGCTATGATCAGCATTGGCGGCATATAATCGGCTCCGGATCACGTGGCCGCTTGTTTTGGCTGCGAGTTGAGGAAGTGAACGCTGCTCAGTTTCTTTAATTTTTTCTGCGACTTCGATTGCGTGTGGTGCAAAACGAGCGAGTGTTTCAAAGGTCATTAACGTCAGGGATCTGTTGTAAGCGGTATTCGGGCAAAGTACAAAAATCGTTGCATCGCCCCTTTAAGTCACACTTTCTTTGGAGTGTGTACGCGGGTCACATTATCTTTTGTTCCCTTAGTGAGCAAGTCACGCAAAAATATTAGTTTCGCTGATCGGTGACATCTTTGTCAAGATGACGTCATTGACGCGATTCTCGGATCGAAGATATGTTTTTCGCGTTCCTCGCAGCAGCTACCGTCCACGACGAGCAACGCCACCAGACTCGGTAGCATTGACCGGGACCGTTCTGAGAACGTTCACCGCCACCGGAAAACAGAGCAATGCGGCAGGCTGTTCCGGCGGAGCTTGGAAGGAGAAAATCGAGCGGTTCTAGTGTATAGCGATCTCTAACTCGGTTAGCGGTCCTAATGCAGGAAGGAAATTCTACACAACGAATATTCCTTCTACCTTCCTCACCAGCTCTCGCACACCTGCACGCCGTGCTTGACTTCTTTTCTTTTCCTCACACACGGACAATCATGATGACACGATTACTTTGGCGAACTTCCACTGTCTGCTTCAGATAGCCGAAGTTGTGGCGTCAGCATGATGCAACTAGGGTTGTGCGACCATTTAAGAATTATAACTAGTACTTAACCGGTGACTCGTAATTTATTAAATACTGTAAACGACTTATTTTTCGCGGGCTCAATACTTTGCGATTTAGGTTAAAGCTGAAGTTTTGGAATAATTTGAGGGTTCTAATTTTCGCGACGCGGTGGGATCTCAATATAGATTCCAATGGGTTTACATTTTACCGGAATTGTTCGCGGGGCCTATTTTTGGCAAATTGTAGGCGATTCGCGAAATTCGCGAAAATTAGGTCCCCGGGAGAATTAAGTCGTTTACAGTAATCGGTTAATCCGACCAATTTGAAGGCTAATGGAACGTTGAACTGAATTGAAATTAACAATATAAAATGGTACTTTTTGGGGAACGCAATTGCAGAGATTCGAGTAGCCTTGAGTACATGCGAATGGAGCTTCTTCCTTTCATTCACTCTGGTGTTTGGAATGTATGCACATGCCAAGAGCTGGCCGACAACAAAAACATTTAAACTTACAAAAAAAACATATTTTTTTTTTTTTTTATGGACGTCAAGTAATTAACTACTATGCACTGCATAAGTAATTAAAAGATTGGGAACAGAGCACAAATGAGACTTTACCAGTAAGAGGTTAGGCAGGAAATAGAATATGGTTTTTAGAAAAGTGAATTATTTTTGTGTTTTTATCATACATATACAGGTTAAGTGAGCCGCCAATCTTCCAAGAAAATTCAGATAAAGACAATATTTACATTGAGAGAGAACGAAGTACAGATCACCTTTTGTTCGTCACGATTGTAATAACTAACAGTACAAACAATATGGGTACCGATTCGAACTAGTAACCTTCTCGCGTTCGTTGCTTCCACCGGCTCAAATAAAGCAACGTATTTAAGTCTTCCGGATGCGACGATTTCCTTCTGGTTAATAACAATAGTCCTACGCTAAACAGCCTTTCAGTCAGATTCCTGACGACCCTATCAAATAGTTCACTTTTTACCAATTAGCGTGAGATGACATTACTGTAAGAAATTAATTAATTAATCGGTAGGTTAATCAATCAACTTCGAGCCCTAGTTAAAATGCATGTCGTCAGTGCAGTACTGCTCAGTAAACCTGATCGCCCAGAGTTTTTACCGAGTGCTTGATTATACGTAAAAGGCCAACATAATGAAAATAAATTTACGCATTCCATAGATATAGAAAAAATTGTAAGGGTGCAGGCGAGCTGGTGAATAGAATCCATGTTGAATTAACCTGAGACTGGGGTAGAGAAGAAACATCAAAACGTAGAAGAGACAGAAAATAGACAGGACGACGCCTCAATTTTTGAGACGTCGTCCTGTCGTTTTTCTGTCTCTTCTACGTTTTGATGTTTCTTCTCTACCCCAGTCTCAGGTTAATTCAACATGGTCCATAGATATGTTTGTTATGGCAGATAACAGTTTTGCTAGAGTATTCAAATTGTTGCAAAACGTTCGGAGAGATCTGATTGAATACAAAGAATATTTCTCAATGCGTGCAAGATTCCAAAGAATCCTTATTTAATTGTATAACTAAGCACGAAGTTTGTCTTCAATAACTTTAATTTGGACAAAAGATGTAGCGATTTTATATGTACACGAACATCTGAAATAATGAACGGCGCTTTACGTCCCCTTTAATTAATATGACAAGCTTTTTTTTTTTCTTAACTAAAAGCACAGTTGAAGTGGTTTTAGTCCTAATTGTAAAAACAAATACGCTGACACGAACTGACCAATCATCCTCCGTTTTAAACGACGTCAAAAACCTGTGGCTTCATTCATCATTCAATTTGTACGCCTCCCGTGCGAACGAAACGAAAGACGAAGCCGTACGCGCTCGCCGTGCTGAAAAGCTGGCTTTGCTGCCTTGCTTCAGTGCGCGCGGTGAAGCATACTTTTAACTCTACCCCCTCCCCCTTTTTTTTTTTCTTTTTTCTTACTCCTTTTTTTTTTATTGTTTTACTCGGTTTAGCAGCGTTTCACAAGTTGCGAATAAAACTGAAATTTACCGTCGGCTCAATCGTAAATGTACCTCTTTTTTTTTTAAGAATTGGTTTAATCTTTTTTTTATTTTCCGTTCGCCCATGGCTTGACACCGATGTGCAGGCTCTTTTTAAGTTGGACCGATCATAAAATCAGCCCCGCCTCGTGTGACAGAAGCGTTCAGCTATATCCTTCGCCCTCAAAGCGCGCCGTCACGTCACCGATCACCGACGGTTAATTGGTTCCATCGGTATGATAGTTTTCCCTGTGCCGTCAACTATTGGGTGAGAACACCTACGGCGAACCGACGCCACGTGGATGCTCCCGAAAGCATAGTCACGGGCCCTTTTTCTCACGCAGATATCCGGGAGAGGGCCAAGTGGCGGAGCACAGAGGCGAGCGCGTGAGGGCCCGAGGGCCAGGTCCTTAAAAGGCCTCGGCGGACCTCGAGGGCCGGCGAAGTGCGGGATCCGTCGGAGCAGCGTGGCGTCGAGAGTCGGGCGCGCTAGGGCTCCGCCACCCAGGTCCCGAAATAGGTACCGAGCTCCCATTGCCTAGGGGCCCGCCAAATTTAGCCGACCAACAAAGAGAATCCGCCGACGTTCTCCATTTTGGGTGGCCTCCGACACTCGGTGGAATGGACCCACTGGTTCTGTCTTAAGGATATGCCCCATTATTTACAGGAAATAATAAGAAAAAAAAAAAAAGAATCTAGTCACATTTCTTACGAAGTGCATGTTCGAATACTTTCTTGTTATGGTATGCGTGGCATTTTTAGAGCACGGCTTGACGTCACAAGAGCGCACACTGCGAAGTTTTGCTGCAAAGTGACATCACCGCGAGAGCCAGCGTTCCACTCGTCTACTTTTTAAGCTCGCGTGAATAAGACGCCGCACACACCAATGCTTCGCGTGCGCGGTGTGACACTGTTAGCGCGAACAAGCTATCGCCGGTTATCTTTTCTCTTATTTCATAAGAATCGAAAGTCTGTCATCAAGACCTCTCCGTGTTGGGTAGTGTTCAACTGGGGTACTGACCTACACGGTTAAACCTAGCGCTCACCCCTACCCCCTCGAAGGAAAAAAAAAAAAAAAGAGCGCCGATGTCGCGCTTTGTACATCCCCTACCAATGTTAGTGTCTGCCGGTTTTTTATAAGCAAAATACGTGATAGTGTTATAAGCTGTAAATTAATTCCGACATAACTTGATTCGATACGTACTGTCGTCCGGTATCCGCAGATCGCGCGATGTTAGCCCGCTTGAGTGGTAGCATACTACTTTCGCACTGCTGAGCCTGCTGCTTTGTGAAATCGCTAAGCGGTGCTGAACGCACAGTAGACAAATCAAGTGAAATGGCGTTACAAAAAGTCTACATAAACTCACTCTTTTTTTTTTTATTTATTTTTATCTTAGTAGTTTGGATTGGTGTAGACAGAACCACTAGTGATATAAGGAAAGGAGGTCGGTAGCTTTTGGGTCTTTTGTTGGTTGTCTTCTATATCTCAATGCGACCGACGTTCCCGGTAACATGAATATCCATAGCCTGCTTCTTTGACTGGAAAGAGGAATCTAGAAAACAACGTATGTTCGCTTAGAAGGCTGCGAACTCTGGTCAACCAAGCAATTGCAACTCATGACGTGATTCAGGGTTTGAATGTTTCATGTAACTCGAATTACCACAAGTCCTTGCGAGCTAAGTCCACGTTTAAATGGAGTCATTTCCCCGTTCTGAGACTCTTACTACGTCTGGAGATAGTGCACAGCAAATTTTTACTAAAGCGCTCAAGTATTAAGCGGATGAGGCTTGAAACAACTTGGCAGAAAGTTAGAATTATAGCGAAGACAAGTGAGCGTGAAACCCAGGACGGGTGTTGTTTTTCACATTATATATATATATATATTTTTTTTTTTTTTTTTTTTTTTTTTTTTGCTCGCGCGTTCTACATTTAAAACGTTGTCACTTTTTCTTTTTGGTGGATTTTTCCCTATGCTTCTCACTGAATTCAATGGTGAGCAAATGTCCCCATGGTAGATGCTGAGTACAGCGCAGTACACACTTCTTTTTAAAAGTTAGCTTATCTTAAATGATAATCGAGTCTCTCGTGTTCAATTATCACGCCTACAATATTTGTTTATTAGATGGTACGTCACTGATATTAACTAAAATCTAAATAAAACTTTCAGTCTACCCAATTCTTTAAATAAACGCCGAGACAAGCTACATCTTAGTTTCTAGCGCCAATTACTACACTGCAGTGGCAAGCTTTGTTCCGTTATGGGAGCGCATATTCAATACATATTTTCCTTAAAGTTTTACTGTTTGGTTGCTATATTCAAATTCATTTCCTGTTTCTTGCTCGGTAGATACATAAAAATTATTTGTTCACTTCACATAAAAAGACGCTGACTGATACGTTGCGGTAAAAAAAAAATATATATAAAGACATATTATGCTGGTTCTTTCAAACAGACAGAAAAAATCTGGAGGGTCTTACTGAATTTCCAGGTAGGGGTTAATCCACACTCCTCGGCTCTGAAATCTCTTCATGGGCATGAAAATCTCACAACGAATAACAATAGCGAGTTGAAACTATTATCTGATAGAATACGACGCTGTGCCAAAAGACTCATAAGAATTTTTTTTTTTACTATCTCAACATTTTTTTTGCACTTCTTCGTCTTCAAAAAGTACCAAAATTGCTTTTATTTTTACAGCTAGTAAAAAATGATGAGATGACAAACTCTTGATGTCTTCCACGCCATTTTCAAAACCAAAATAATTTGCTCCTGTTTTTTTTTTTTTTTTGCTAATTGCTCATCACAGCGTAATGAGACCCTATGCGGAGGCTTATCCGGGGTGCAATATTCTCTTCCTCATTTTTCATCGAAATAAAAATCGCTCAAACTTTTATTATTTAATCGCGGAGCAATAGATAAAATGAATGTGTTTCTTTTCATACTATTAACAGATAAACTGGGACGTTAATGTGAACCATCGGCTAAGACGGGTGACCTTGACAAGTGACCTTTCCCCATTAAAGTTAAGTAAAATAAATGTGATGCCTATAACAGAAAGACGCTAAACGCGAGAGCTAGTGATTATTCACCGGAATATCTTTCGCGCTTGAAATGGCAACTGAAGTGTAGCTAGAACCTAAATAGCTCTCAATCATGTGAACTTTTTGCTGTGCTTCTTGGGGCAGCTGGTGATTGAAGAAGCCATTTTGTACTAATAGTTTGTATTTCGCACGGCTCATGAAGTCACATTCACGGATAAACAAATGTTGAGATATACGTTTCACTTTCTTGTTATTTCTAATACTTCGGTTAATGCTACCTGTTCGGTGTGGCAGTTGTAACTCCGTCGCTGTAACTGCAGAATACCTGAGCTGCATAAAGCACAAAACCAAAATAATTCGGGAATGCATTCGTCCAAAACATAGCGTAAGGGAGATGGTGACTAAGGTATCGAATAACGAGACCTTTCTATTTTTAGAGCGACTGGTCATAGCCACCACCGCAGACAAAATGTGAATAAAAAAAAAAAAGAAGGGAAATTTGACCTTCGAAAGCATTCTCTAGTAGTTTAACGCGTTGTAAAGTAACATGCGCAATAAAAAAAAAAAATTTAGCATTAGATCACGCATTTTACTCTTGGTCTAATAAAAGTAAAGGCGAAATTTTTACTCGACTAAACTTCTAGGGTTTATAAACCATTGAGACCGTTTCTCTTGGTTCATAGAGTAACATCCCCGGCTCAGCTGATGTTACAGGATAAATTCCCCAAAACTAAGCGTCGTCGTGACACTCCATTAAAATCCAAGTTTCATATAAGCCGCGCTCCTCTCCGAACATTTGGCGATAAAGAGAAAAAGTTGAAAGGCCACTTACGTTCGACATCCTTGGAGCTGAGGTCCGCCTGAAAGACATAGAAAACAAAGCCGAGCGTTTATGCGGACGAACAAGAGAAGGTTTCAGCCGAAGTATCCGAATCTCAGGCAGAAAGGCAGCAACGCACCATTTTTTTCTGATGTTCCTACTGAGGTAGCTCCTCGTCCCGGTCTGGATCGCCAAGTGATGTGGAAGAGCAAAGTCCCCAGTTGCTTATATGGTCCACCGTCGGAGGGCGCGGCGAGCGGCGCTATTTTTTGCTTCTCTTCTGCCCCTTCTTCCTCTCGTCGTTTCTCGCGCCGATTAACCCTAACCGCGAATGGTAAACTTTTTTCTCTCCACTAATAACACGCTCTCGCAGCTACGAACGAGGCCCCTAAAAATGAGGTGATCTCAACTCTGCCTCTTTAATAAAGTAAACTCGTACGGTAGGACGCTTCGCGCCGGGGGCGAGGCTGGTGAGGCCCATGATTAGTTGCTGGGCGTGCGTCAGCCAGGCGCGAGCGGCGAGCCGCGAATTTGTCATTTCCCGTGGCCAGCCGATACTCTGCTCCCACTTGAGGAAATGGCACGACAGTTCGGTAAGCGCATTTCGAGACACAAACTTCTTGTTTAAAGTTGACGTTAGCGGTAGCTTGCACCGCTATCTAGCCACCGGCAAAGTGCTTCCAAAGGATCGTGGTCTCTGTGTTGAACTCGCGGCATCGTTTTCATATACATCTTTTCGATCGGGGGAATGCCAGCTAATTATTTTGCAGTTTCCCCTCGATTGTAAACGTTCCGTATACAATAGGTATCTTTCCGCAATGTAGCTGCCCTAGAAATAATGAAAAGCCAATGTGGTTGGAGTATAAAATTCTGGGGGTCTGCCAACTCTAAATATAGTCGAGTCCGTCTAAAGCCCTCCGTTCCAAGGAAAGATCGTCTATCGTCCAGCATTCTTCGCCTTTTTTTTTTCTTTATCTAATTTTTTCTGCGGATCGATTCGCGAGAAGTGCTATTTTGATATACCCCCGTATCAGTTTGTTTTTTCTACAAATTACGTCGATGTGATACCGCCGATATCCCATTAATAAATTATTTTTGTCGGACGAGTGATCGCTGCTTGCTCGAGGTCGACATTAATGACACAGCTTCGAAATGCCTTGCACGAGCCTTTAACTCTCCAGTTCTTATTTCCTCGCATAGCCGAAGATATGAAGCGCAAGCATCAATTGAATGAAATACCTCAAGTTTGGAAGTCATACTGTAAGTTGGTTCGTTCACAGCCCAAGGAAGTGTGCTAACACCTGTATTGTTTCTAGTGTATCAGCTCCAGCAAAAAGCACCAACACCAAAGAGGATAGTTTGCAGTAAAGAGGTGAGATGCCGAATTCACTTACTGTCAATGCCTTGGGCCCCCGATGTGCTAGCTCCCGCTTTGTTCAGTTCATGTTTATAGACTCTCAGCAACGTAAATGATCGAGCAATTAAACGGCATAAAATTGGCGTCGTATCACAAAAATGTATCGAAAGCTTCTTCATAAGCCTAGCAGCAAGTAGTGTTGATGAAGCAACATATGTAGGCTTTGCACAAGCTGGGTTCAAGGCTTCTGCAAAACACCACTTTCACATGCCATCTGTCATTGAACAGTTTGGAAACAACAATTTTCTTTTCTTTATGAGCACCTGAAGCAAGTGCAGATTCCCACCAAGATTTTAATGGTAGTAATTTCACACCGCTTCATATACTTCCTCTATGTTATGAGTAGGGTTCTATGTCTTTGGTATATATCGATAAATTCCGTAAACTAACCCCCAAACTGATTTACTCTTATCAAAATCGCGAAAGACCAAAAACCCCCAAATCGGAGCTTTCCTTGAATAAAGAAAAACCGAGCTTCGGGTGAGGAAATCTTTGGCTTTATTCTATCGTGACTATACACACGTCCCTCGGTGAACTGTCCAGGAGCCCTCTTCTTTGGGAACCTCACTCCTTATATTGTTTCCTTCTCATGTTGGGGACATTCCCCATGTATTCGGGCCGCTCGCATGTTCCCTGGAAGTCAGGAAGTCCCATGCTACTGGCCTATTTCCATTAACACAAGCCCCCCCCCCCCCCCCCTCCTCCCTCCCTCCCTTATTTCTTTCCCACAAAAATCTTGATGCTGAGTTCGAGGGAAAAAATAAACCCCGAAAACACAGAACCTTAGTTATGATTGACCACTAAATTCCAAAGTTTGTAGGAAAAGCTCCATCTGAAATGATTTATTTTTCTTTAAATTTGCCTTCTAGGTTCCCAATCGTCCAGCACACTATGGAAGAGAGTAAGTGAATTTATTGAAAACATTTTTTTTTTTTTATCATTAACCTTTTGACGGCCAAGACTTTCTCCTCGAGAGATGTTTCCTAGTGGTCCAGTTTCGTTGGCAAAGGAATAGTATAAAGAAAAAGTCAATATGCATGTTTTTTTTTTTAAATTATCTAGCGGGAGCACGTACAGTGCTTGTTACTTGTTTACGTCTAGAAGCATCAAATAAAAATATTGAAGGCGAAAAATTGTCACCTTCTATTCCATTTTATTTTAGTGCTTTCGCTTCCACGACGTTCCAGCGGCTTCAAATTCCTAGCAGGAGGTACTCCACATAACTTCTTTGTTAGATGGTGAGCTCTCGTCTTCTAAATTTAATTCTGGAGATTATTGAAAGGCTGAATCGGAAGAGTCAGTGCTCCCAGTGGCACTAACGCCAGAGTGGCCGGCCGGTATGCGAAGTGAGTGCCACGTGCGTAAAACGTCTATTTTGAAAACTATAAATAGCCCAGCAATGCTAAACAGTGTATGGATATAACATTTATTGGTCATCAAAGGTATAACAAGTAGCAACACTTCCTGCGGTGTGCGCAGTTTCGTCTAGGTGGTCACTTTCAAATGTGTAATCGCCGCCATACATGTACATTGACGATTGTCGAAGTGTTAGGTATGTAGTTGCAACATCCTCAGGTACGGTACTTGTATCCTCAGCTGTAGGTGACACTTTTTTTCACCCTTCAAGCTGTTCAAGTAACCATGGAGGATATTGTAAAGCCTCTAGGTCTAAGACTTTACAGTTGGAAATAGAGCACATTGTAATACACAATAAAACTGGTAAAAATAATGAATCTTTAAGACTTTAATTCCACCTTTTGCACCCCTCTATGTATCTGTGGTTCGAAATCAATGAGCTACTTTGAACAGGGGTGTTGTCTCCATACTTAGGTTCCATGGCATGATCTCGCGTGAAGAAGCAGAGCGCTTGCTCCAGGAAGGTGATGGCTGCTATCTCGTCAGGGAAAGCCAGAGAGCTCCAGGACAGTACACCCTGAGTCTGAGGTAACATTCTTTTTTACTCTCTTCTCAAATTCAAACTTGAAATGTTTCCAGTTTTATGTCGAGATCTACTGTCGTGAATAATATGAGCGACAACACTTCATCTGCCCCTTTTTATGACAATTATGACAACCTGAACATCCTTAACGACTGGCAGGCACTCCAGATAGGCATGCCGTGCTGTTCCCTCTCACATATCCTATAACTGTACTTGAACATCAGATCTATATCTGTGCATAATACTGGACCTACGTTGACCAAATGCTTCTTCTGCGTCACATACCACTGAACCTCATACTTTCTGTTCTGAACCAAAAATCCAACAGGCTCCTTTCTGAGGGAGGGGAAGTTGAGATGGAGGTGACCGATAATGGTGATTCCTTGAAAGCTGCAGGAAAAAAAAGTATAAGAAGTTGTTCGGTCCCGTTGATCACATTACTACGAGGACCAGAGGGTCCCCGTTTATTACAACGTCAAGTTACATAAGACCAAACGTTTGTGCCAAAAGACAAACCCTTTCGGTTCCCATCCCGAATCTCCTAAACTCTCTTGCACTACTCAATTCTTAGACGTGTGCAAGTGACCTCCCTTTCCTGTCTAGACAACACATGCCGGTGTCTCGAGGTGAAAAGTGATGATAAACCGAAAATAGTGTTGTTCTGCTTCTGTGTTTGCCCCGACCCATCATTGTGCACTCGGGTGGCATATCTGTAAAGGTGCACGCACCCAGAGTGCTGACATGCTCAGTGCTCCAGTACAGAGGCTGCAGGCTGTGTTGAAGTGTCCTAAGTATCTACCGCAAAAACAGCAAACTGCGCTACACATACAGAACATGGTCCCTGCGAGGGCAAGCCAACCCGAGCTTGAAGGAAATTCTCTCTCTACAGATGCTTCTCATTTGCAGTCAGGAAAACAAAACCACAAAACTATACAAAATAAATCTGAAACTTAGCTCTAACCCTTTATTTTGCTTTTACAACATTGGACAAGCAGACAAGTTTTTTGCTAGCTCCTGCTGTTTCGACTCAAGTTATTCATACATTCTCTTGAATTAGTAGCTGCGAAAAGAAGGTGCTGATCACAGCAAGGAAACGGAGTACAGAGAACTTGTAGCACCACCGCGCTGTCAATTGTTTGGCTACTCAGACTGATAACTAACTCCGCCAGAATTCAGCGGGCCGATTGTTGGCCGATATGTCTTCATAAACTCGGTCCTGAGAACGCAAAGCAGATGCCAGTCACTCCTTCAAGGTTGTCATTGGCTCCGAGTGATGTAATGCTTCCACCATAAATTTAAACTTGCCCAAGAGTATCGGGAACACGATAACGCCCTCCTAACCTATTCTCCCATCTAAGAAAAGGCAGATTTATCCGAATGACCCAGTCAGTACAGTGCGTTAAACTTCAAGGCACCTTTGCTTCTCTTCTACAATGGTCATGCAAGGATGACTGGAACTTTTATTTCTTTGGAGGAAATGAAGAATATGACAAGCACGAAACTATGGTGCTTTTTAAAAATATTCCCCGTTTGCATCCAATTACGACTGCCATCATTCTGGCAGCTCCCCAATTCCTTTGAATAAGAAATAACTGGATGTGCAACTGCAATCGGATGAACATGGTTGTGGCGGTTCGCTTGTCACTGGCTGTCATCCTGCACCAAACTGTTGACACCATTTGTACACTCTCGTCCGTGACATTGTTTGTTTCTCATACTGCGCTCGCAATATTCTGGTTCAACTTATTCCTTCACCAGAAATGGGAATACCTCTATACCGCTGCTCCACAGCTACAGACACACCGCTCGCCGCCATGATACAGTTGCCGACTGATTTTTTGGACTTTACAGGGACTGAAAAAATGTCCTTATAATAAAGCAGTCCGAAAAATCAGCAGATTAAAAAATTTGCCTTTATTGCATCTAAGTGGGCTTAAAGGGATGCTGAACCGAAATTTGGATTCCCCAAAACTCGCGGCAAAAGCGTGCAACGGGATGCTGGAAACACCAAAACATCATTCATACAGCAATATCTTAAACGGATGACCGTATTTTTTAAAAAAAGAGGCGCATCTGGCAAGAATCTTGACGTCATGTTTCTCCGAAAAGGAGAGGGAAAACGGCCTCATGTCTTCTTCGCCGCACGGCCTTGAGGGAGCAAAGTGAAGAGAGGAGGAAACTAGGTATCTTGACGGTCACGCGCCTCGTCAGCCTGGTTCAATCTCGACTTCTTTTTCCAAAAATACGGCCGTCTATATAGGATATCGCCGTACTAGTAGTGTTGTAGGGATTGTAGCGTCCTGCCTACATCTCCAGCATTGTTTTTTTTAAATCGAAATTTCGGTTCACCATCCCTTTAAAAAAGCCGTCAGTAGTGCCTTGTTTCAGGTTACGCCTTTGCATGCATTCGCCCTCTTTCTATTAGCTTGAGAATTGCTGGCGTTATGGTCAAGTGCTTTCCGCGCTGCTTAGTGACACTTCGCAACGGCGAAAGAACAGATGGGGCCATAACATCCAAGCCAGTGTAGTCCGAAAACATTATTCTCAGAAATGAGATGAGAGGCGCAATGCTACGACTGCAGAAAATGGTGAATGAACAAAGCAAAATGGTAACAGTAATGATAATAGTGATGCGCAGCTAGAGAAAAAGAAATTCGTAGCATAGCCAGCATAGTGTCACCTAGTGGTAGGACTTAGCAGTACTCAAGTCAACGTCAAGAATCTCAAATGGTGGCTTCTCAATAATGTTTCCCGCTGATTGCTCACAACGATTTTGTCTGAACGATTGAGATTTCGGACTTCAAGCTGTCCAAAACATTGGTTGTAAATATGCTCTATTTCTATCGGGTAGGTCACGGTTCATCCTTTAGGTCTAAAATATTAAACAAGCCCGAATTATTGGCGTTCAAAAAATCGGTCGGCGACTGTAGCTAGAAGTGCAGCGCACACGTCAGATACATTATTCTAGAAGTATTACATTAACATCCTCCACAAGTTTCATCATGCTACACTTGTTCGGCGATTCCTTACAGACAAAATTCTCAGTCAACCGTGAACGACCCTTGCACGTACCCATTGTGACTTCCCTCTGCAAGGTCCTGTATGTGACGAATCATGTGCTGTTAGTCATGAAAATGCGTTCTTTTCCCCGTGCCTTCCTCGCTCAGGCGTCGTCACCCCCGTTTTTTCCTTACGTGCTACGAAGGTTCGGCAGCGCGTGCAAGAACTTCCGTCTTTACCACGACGGCATGCACTACGTGGGGGAGAAGCGCTTCCTGACGCTGCAGGACCTCGTGGCGGACGGCCTGATCACGATGTACCTGGAGACTTACGCTGGGGAGTACATCAACTCGATGTGCGCCCAGTCGCGCTACGAGGACAGCCCCTACATGACGCTCCACTCGTACCAGCGCCAGCTGAGGCAGAAGCAGCAGCAGTCCCTGCGCATGCGCCACCGCCACCAGCAGCAACACAAGGAAGAGCAGCCACAAGCCGCGTCGCAGGAGCAGGAGGCCCACGAGTACGACAAGCCCGACGAGGTGAGTGTGAGGCGCGCATTTCTTGATTTCTTTAATACTTAAAGGAGCTGTGCAACGATTTTAACGTTAAAAGAATTGGCATCTTTTACTTGTGATATTGTTCACCTTGTCACAAATGACAGAAAACACGCCTCCCTTCAATGAGATGTTGCGATTCTGCCGCGTAATAGCGAGGTAAAAATTAGAAAATTCCCCGGACCAGCAGCCGCAAGCGGCGGCCATGAGAAACATGTGGCATGACGTCAATTGGGGATCTTGTAGAAAGATAGCAAGTTGTGCGAATACCTTCTCGATAAAGCATAACTTTTCTATAAATCTTGTCGTTCCAACGTAAGTATAAATGCGTCAAAAACCTAGTATCATCGACAAAACTTTTATTATACATAGTTTTAGTGGCACCATCTATCCTAGGTCCACAAAACCGTCAGCCCTGTCTGCTACCGCGAACAGAAGCCGGAGGGGGAGGGGGACAGTGTTGGACCGGTATGGCCGGACCCGGATGAGACTTTCCTCCTTTCACCATATTGTTCGCACGGCGCCCGCCATCACGCGGTCGCGAGCAGGTGAGTTCTCGCTGCTCACTGATGGCTCTAAAAAAAGAGCTTTACTGGAACCCCGCGCCTACCGCATCGACGTCACTGCGCATGTGACCCGGAAGACGATGTACGAGTTGAGAGGTGGCAAAAACCTGGATCTTTTTCATTTTTTAGATAAAAACTAGGGTATCCAGGCAAAATCTGTTTTTTGTAGTTCACTTCAGAAGTGTCAGGCATCAACTTCCACAATTATTTAAGCGAAGCCCTGAAATTGTTGCACAGCTCCTTTAAGTGGCGGTTTCTCGTGGCATACTTTCAGCTCAAAATCTTGCCGTACGCCATGTCGATGAACTTTTGCCATATGTCTTCCTACGTGCGGAGTCAGTGTTTTCCAGCTCGGTCGAGCTTTTTGCATCCTGATTGACTGCGTCTGCCCGAGTAGTTGGCGACACAGAAAAACGTTGTCTGGTACTATGTATTAAAACTCGCAAATTTCACTTTACCCGAAACCCCGTCGCGCAACCTTTCTGCTTGGACTTGGGTTCTACCTACGATGAGACAATTCTGTACTTTGCTTACTTGACTTGGGCTCGTGTGCTAGAACACTTTGGTATACACTTGCATTCCTGCCAAGTCACCCACCTGTATTACTCAGGAGACTCCTGAATTTTACTTATTTGTACAGTTAACAGAAAAATCTCCCGGGAAACGCAAATTATGCCCCTGCACTTAAACAAGGAGTTTATGCCATTGCAACAAACGGCTGCAATGATAGCAAGGCCCAGCTGTATCTCGCTAACATGAGCAGTGCAGTATAATTGTAATGAAGTTTTCTTCATGTAGATTTGTTGTCAATATTTCTTTTTATAAACCCGCTACCCCCCCCCCCTCCACTGAAAAATTCTCCCGGACTTCGTTTCCCTTAACTTGGCACGTATGCACTTGTGTACTCTGCGTATGTTGCGCTTTGCTAGAACTAAAAATCATGTGACATGCCACACTCTTGCCAAGTTTGTTGGGCGTGTGCACGCTCAATCCAACAGCCAGCCTATGTACTTTTCATTGTCAGAAGTATGTGATTCTCGTCCGTTATTAGGAGTGGATGGAAAACTATAAGAGGTGGGCAAGACACTTTAGTGAGAGCTGTTGTCCACTCTAGAGAGAACCCCAGTTTTCGTTCGAAGGTCTTAAATTAAGAAGAAAGTTCAGTTACTTCATTGTACATTTCAAAGGAGGCCAAAGCAATACGTAGCTTGCACCAATGTCACTTGGTCAGATATAGCGTGGAAAAAGGGCATGTGAGAGGGTAGCTTCTGCTGCGTTAAAGAGGCGCTTCTGGGCACCAGAAAGAGGGGCGGACTGACGTCGAGTGCAAGTCATGAATGGTTGGCATTCTGACTGCATGTGCTATGCCCACTCTAGAGAGATCAGTATTGCATTGTGCACTTTTATCTTCTGTTATGTTACAAATTATATTGGCAGGTCACATTAGAGCAGTGGTATCACCATTTCAGAGTCATTTACACATTTGATTTTTCTTTTGCCTATTGTGACTGCTTCTACGGCAAATGACAACCTTCTTTGCACCACTTTCGAAATTATTAGGGTTTGGTACTTCCAAAAGAATTGCTTCTAATCTGCGAGCGCTTAGCATCACTTAGCATTTAGTAATTAATTTTATAGACATATCGCTTGCTTCATCCGAAATCAACCTTCTGCTCATTTCACTACTCCACGTGTCCTTTTGGACCATAACGACTTTTGTGATCCTCTCTTTCCACTGCATTGACTATGCTAACTGTCTGCAAACTTGGATTCACTCATGAGTTACAGGATCCAGTATTGGTGGCCTCCCATGTCCACCCAAGCTTGCTTCATTGCTCTTGGACAACTAGGCTTGCCTGATTGCTACTCGCATTAACCTAGAAGGCTTCCAGCTTCTACTCTAGGTAGACTCAATGTGGCACAAATCTTTGGGGCCCCATTAACTACGGTCTAAGCTCTCCTGAGGCTTGTAACCCCATTCATCCAGCGGCTTGCTTAAAGGGGCGGTGCAACGATATTCAATTGGAATGGTTTTCACTTTACACGAGCTTGCTGGCACTAGTGGGACTCAAGGATACTGGCACGCAACGCCATTGACCAAGAAAGTCCTTTGTTGCACTGTAATTTCGAGGACAAAACCGAGCGTTTTCATTCAATCTCTCCTTCGCAAAACCTGATGACGTAGCTGGGCGGTAGCAGTACCGCCCAGTGACGATATTTGAATGCGGCTCATAGATTGGACCCGAGCATTGCGTCGGCACTCGATTTGGGCTCGTGATAATCTTTAGCTCGAGAAGCATTCCGGTAGTGTCCTTTGTCCAATCGCTGCAATGACGACAACAGCCGAACCATAACAATGTCTGGAACGCAGCGCGTGTCCTGTGTCTTGCCAACCCCAGCGCGTGACTATGATCAACATTGGTGGCATATAATCGGCTCCAGATCACGTGGCCGCTTGTTCTGGCTGAGAGTTGAGGATGTGAACTCTGTTTGTTTTTCTTTATTTTTTTCTGCCACTTGGATTGCGTGTGGTGAAAAACGAATGGGTATTTAACAGGTCATTAAAGTCAGGGATCCGCTCTAAGCGGTATTTCCGCAAAATACAAAACTCGTTGCATCGCTCCTTTAAGTTGGCACATCCAAATGTGCTTGCTCAAGTACCACAGCACAACCGCCCTGGATGCACTGAACAAGCTAGTGACTGTGCGGGGTGCAGTGGCAGTCTCCAAGGCATCTTTCATGAGCATTTCCTCTTTTTGTTGATGCACTACATCCTTAGTTGCCCTTGCACCAGTAAACCTGCGATCATCCTCCTCGCTTTTCTGGATGCCTTCCTCTCTTTCTCCTCCACTTCTGTCAGCTCTTTCCAGTAGTCGTCTTTCATTCTTCCATTCCAAGAAGACCTAGGTGAAGCTTGTGATGCTTTTGAAATGGACTCACATGCCTTGGCTGCAAACATGAGACAGGGAGTTTCGTAGGTGGCACATGGTGTCAAGTCTGCTGCACCTCTGGACGAAGACCTTGGACGCCTGCTAGGCCACTCCTCGTTTCCCCCCTTCGTACCAACCTCTGGACGGTCTGTGTTCTTCTGTGAGGCCTCAGACTCCAGGATCGTGGCTGGGTTTTGCAGAAATTCTGTCGACTGTTCGGTACGTTAGGAGTTTGGGTAGCTGAGCCATACGCACGTTTGGCGAGTTTGTTCTTAGCCAAACTTGTCTAGGTCGGCACAGATTTGGCCTATCTGTGCCATCTGTAAATGGGGCATGACTGTGCGGCATTAATCTATTTCTCGCATTTGCTTACAATCGATTTACTCATGAAGCCGGTTGTTTCGTTTGGCCGCCAGTCTCGTAAGCACAGCCGGTCACTGCAAATGAACATTGGACAACTTCATTCTTATTTTATAGTAAAAATGCTGTGTAAAAACAGCTTGTAAAAAGAGATTGAATGAGAGCCTCAAACTTCAACTCTCGCTGTTAGTGGTGAAATCATGAGAAGCAAGCAATGAGCCTATGTAAACAACTACCAAAAATAATTGGATTGTTTTAAAAACTGGCACTTCATTTGCATCCAGTTTCTTGAGGCTACCTGAACAACTTTAATGGATGTCTTGGTCAAAGGAATGCAATGTTGTTAATAATCCTGCTACTCTATTTTTTTTTCTTGTTGCTTTCTGTAACCTTTGTTAATTTTGTCTCCAAATGCTAATTACTGTGCACACTTACGAAAATAATTCTAAGTACATGGTATGGTTTACTGCTACAACCAGAGTCCTGTTATTTATATACACAATGTGCAGATTGTTTGTATAGAAATGGGAACAAGGAGAAAAGTTGTAAAAGCAACCTCCATTATAATTGTTGTTGGAGGGAGGGACTTGGTAAGAGAATTTAGCACAATGATCAATGCTATGTTTAAGAGTTTGTCAATTGCAACATGAATGATCTTATGTAATTGTCTTGCATTCATATCAAAAACAATGGGAATGAAGCACAAAACTTTGAAATTTTCCTGTAAATAAGTACAAACTTAGTAGACCCAATTGTAGTAATGGAAATCGTCGGACATTTCTTAAAATACTAAATGCACCTTTTTTTTTTTTTTTTTCAAAATATACGTTTATTTCTTTATAGGAGCTTGACTGCCCTCTCCTGGACGGAATTCCGGAAGACATCAATGTTCAGGACTTCGAAAAGCCCCATGCATTTAAGGTAAGAAAAAATTACAGGAGGACGCTTAAGCTTCGCCTTTAAAGGGGCACTGACACCCCAAAGGTCGTATTTATTTTTATTGTCTAGAACGATGCAAGTTGCAGTCATAGACACGCAAAAAAAACCGCATCGCAAAAAAAAATTTTCCCGCGCGCGTGCGGGGCTTTTTATTTTTGGCGTTTGATTTTCCCGCCTCTCGCCTCCTCGCTTCTTTTGATCGGTGACGTCAAGAATCATGAAATTTAGAAGCTTTGTAGGCGACATCTCTATAACATTTAATTACGGCAATCCTAAAACATGTTTTTTAACGCAATTGCAAACGCACTACGGCCCTTCTTTTTGAAATACCAAAAATCGGGAGTTCGTTGTGGTGCCGTCTCCTGGATTTGTATCCTCCAACGGAAAACAGGCGACACCGCTCAAAACCGGTCCGCCGGGCGCTCGCTCCTTTCCTCCTCGCTTTGGGTCGCCATGGCAACAGCAGGGAGTGGTAAAAAAAAGTCGATTCTCAGGTCTCCGCGATTTTTGACGTCAAGGCACCGGCGCCGATCGCGCGGGAACTTCGAATTCGGCATTTGGAAATTGTTTTTTTACTTCACAAATACTGAATTCCCAATTATCAAATTTTGAGGGTAATGTCCCGGCATCGTTTTCAATCGTTTCGGATAATAAAAAAAAATATGATTTTGATGTGTCAGTGCCCCTTTAAGAGAGGAACGCGATAGCTAAATATAAACCCCACTCGTTCTCAAGCCATGCAAGCATGTCTGTGTGGCCTGGTCAGTAGCGTGTCTGGCTCAAAACAGAAAAGTTGTGGGTTTGAATCCCGCCTTCGCCTAAAATTCTTCAGATATTTACTTTAAGGCAAATTAATTACTTTATAAAGTGAAATCATTTGAGACGTGCGGCGACCTTTAATTGGCATTACATGTCATGTTTTAATCACTTTCATTTCACGTGTGACGTCACGTGAGCGTTGTGGGTTGTTTGAAACTCCTGCGCGAGGTCATGTGGCTGTGACGTCATGACCCCTTCGACCAATCAGAGTTTTCCCGTCCGTCACCGACACTGATGCCGGCTTTTCTGCGACGCAAGCTCCTTGAGGGGGGACACTACTTAAAAGAGTGAATATTTCAACCACTTGTCTGATCTAAATGACATTTACAGGGCTTGTTTCTGCTGATGTTGAGAACATTTCTGGGAACTGGGTGAAGTAGAAAAAATATTGCAAATGTTCAAAGAAGAGTAGAAAAACTCTTGTTTTGAAATTACATGTAAATTTGTTGTTTTCATGTGCTATATTGCTTTAGGACAGTTCAGAGCAGATAGCGATGGAGCTATATTTCTTTATTATACCATCTTTCATGACAAAAAAGCCACATAAACAAAAATACCGTTGTTAGATTTCCTTCCTTTGTCCAAAATTTTGAGTTCTTGAGCATGAGAAATGACAAGAATAAAATATACAAGCTCATAGCTATCTTCCCCTTAAAATTGGAACCCAGAAAATGATATTCCGTGACCCCCCCCCCGGTTACGCTGACGCCGACGCCGCTCAGGCTGGAAACGGGCCCCTAAGAGCTGCGCTCTAAAAAGGAAACAGAAGATGACAATGGAGCACCACGGGCATCAATGGCGGCGTAACAGCCTGATCGAACGCTGGGGCGAGACTGCCTCCAGCTTGCCATGTGGAGCACCTTTTGTAGCCGCATATGTTTCTAGAACATTCGTCGCATAGAACATTCTAACGTCGAATAAGCAACAGCATTCTCTAATTTACCAGAAATCTAAATTGAAAGAACGAACGTGCGGAGGCCCAGGAATGGAACCCTGGGCCTCCGCACCGGCCACGCATGCGCTCGCTTGCTGACACGCGTGGCAATGTGACATTTTTTTTAAATCATCTTTTTTGCTGAAATTGTCTTTTCTGCTACTCCGGAAGGCTAACTTTTGAACCGTTTTTCTTATTTGCATGAAATTTGCAGGGTGTACTCATAGCACTGGACAAGGATGCTGTGGAAATTTTCAACCCTATAAATTTATCCTCGGATGAGTTACATAAAAGTTCATAATAAAAAAGTGTATCTGCTGAGGAAAGCTATGGTTTAGAAAGGGTAATGAAAATGGCCAGTATTTTTGCTGGAACATACAGCAGAATACTTGCTTCAGACGACTATGAAAAGAAATTTCGAAAATTATAAATTTTATTCACAAAAAAAAAATATGGAAAAGAGTGTTTTTTTTTGTGTGTACATTTGATTAAAATAAATATAAACTTTTCATAACAAAAGAGCAGAAAAATGCAGAAAGTAAGTTCACAGTCGTGTTCTCCAGAAAATTTCAATATAGAAAAACCAAAATATATCTGCACGCATAATTTGATTATGAAATGATAGCTTCCCTGAACTGATATTTGACACTAAAAAGTGAAGCTGAGATAAATGCCCTTGAAGTTTCAAGATAACATTTTAAAATTTTATTTTTGCGTGTTAAATGTAAAAAATTCTTTCCAGCAGCGTATGTGATGTCTTCCTCAAACTTCTTCTGATATACTTGTATTGATTTCAGTTATTTTCACTTGCGGATGACGAGTGCTACGCAGTGCAGCACACCTCACCAACATACAAAGGATAATTATTTTTGACATTATTTGTCAGAGCGCATTGACAAGACTTTGTGAGAGTGTTCCTTGTTATCCATACATGCCAAAACTCTGCAGTTCTGAATATGAATATTTTTGGAAAAAAAGTGAAATTCAAGGTAGTGTCCCCCCTTAAAACACTTACATATACAATGTGCATGCTTCGTACATATTCCTAATCTGCGACAATAAAATTTAATTATAGGTAGGTTATATTTCCTCTTGTATATTTTGTGAACAGGTCAACAACTTCAAGGGCTTACCATGGTGTGATTTTTGTGGCAACTTTATGTGGGGACTCATTGCTCAGGGAGTTAGATGTGAAGGTGAGTCATACTTTTCTTTGAATTCACTTGTTGTTTTTAACGAGTTGTATTATTAACTCCACATTAGGTACAGTGGTGGTAGCCAGGATTTTTTTTTCAACGGGGAGGGGGGGCACTGGGATAGTTGGGATCTCACGACTTGGGGAGTAGGGTGGTGGGGAGGCACTATGTATATGCATAAAAGATCGACATTGAGAAGGGAGAAGGGGGGGGGGACGGGACTTTGGGCCCCATTCGCGACTCCAGCAAAACGAACGGCACCTAGCGGGAAAACACTGAACTGGCCGGAGCAGGTCCTTTCGCGATTTCTGCTCGTCTCTTGTGGCTTCTGTGATTACATGTTGTCGGTGGTTTGCACGACAGATCAGTTCTACCGGTGACTGTGTCATAACCATAGTATCGCCTTGTGACCCAGGTTGCTCTGCACGTGACCTATGTAACCGCGTGAGCCAGACATTCTGCGTTTATAAACGTTCATCAGCAGCACCGTGGAAGCACAGAGGGCAGTCCTTTCCTCGTTTTCTCGAAAAAAAGTCAAGCCTCCGGGAGTTTGCTTACCCCACCACATCGCCGCAGGTTCGAAACGTGGAAGATAAAACGCGAAGCAAGCCATTTTGAGTCGAATGCTTGCATGCTGGTGCCGCAGCGTTGTGCGTTGAGCTGGCACATGGCATGGCAGGACCTGGATTCGATTGCCATATATATAGTGGCGTCCCCTATAGTAGGTCGCTGGAGTCACGAATAGGGCTGCCCTGGTTAGGTATTTCCTATGATTGCATGGCCTATCGCTGTTAGTGGTCATAGAGACACCCCACTGACTGTTGCTTTGTATTAAAAACACATGCCCCTTTGATTCTGCTCTTCAGCAACGTGACAAAGAATATAAAAAAAAAAAAATTCAAAGCTTTATAAAAAAAGAAGAAAAGTGCAGCTATGGTATTTTTTTTACTGCTAAATTAGTTGATAACTTGATGTTCGGATGCTGCATCCTTTCAATTTGACTGAAGACAGCCGAAAAAAAAGTTATTTATTAGAAGTAATTTCCAATAGTTATTTCACTAGAATTTCCTTAAGAATTGTCACCCGTGTATGTGACCTTATACAAAAGGTTTTCGAAAGTACCTCACCTTGACCACAATTTGTGAAATTGTATAACTGAATTAAGAGAAGATCAAAGTTGTTCATGGTTGTCTCAGATGTTCATGGTTGTTTCAGATGTATGCCTTTTTTGTAGGGTGTCCAGTCGAATGGCTAAGTTTCAGTGCTACCTTCAACACTCTAAAGAGTGCCGGTATATTGTGGCCTTCCTTAGCACTGTAAATGCTATGAATGATTCAGCGCTATTCAGTTTAAACCACTGTTTCCGCACCCCTAGTCTTTTGTCCTCAACAAATTTTGAATTTTATGTGCCTAGTCTTTGTTGGGTCAAATGTGCTGTTAAATTTGAAAAGAGGCAAGACATGTCTACCACAATTGTTTCAGACTGTGGCTTCAGTGCCCACAATCGGTGCTCGGAAAAGGTGCCCAATGACTGTCTACCCGACACCAAGTATGTCAAGCGCGTGTTTGGAGTGGACCTCACGACTCTGGTGAAAGCCCACAATACTCCAAGGCCTTTTGTCTTGGACATGTGCATCAAGGAGATTGAGCAGAGGGGTGAGCATCATCTTCTGTGCTTTTAGCATTTTTTTGGAGATACATTGAGCGGTATCTTTATTGTTATTATTATTTTTGGCAGGGAAGTGCAGGCCTTGGGGCAGTGTGCAACAGAGCTAGTCTGAATACTGAACTGCCACTTCCTTCTCATATACCTAGAAGTCTGCCAGTAAAATCTTCTAGTAGAGTGGAGCAAGTTGAGATGAGGGGTAAAGTTTGGTGATGAAGTTTGGTGTTCAGCACTAACCTATGCACTGTACCCAGTGACGACTTGCTGTGGCATTTCAGTAGTAAAGAGTGCACAAGCACAACTTTGATCGGCACTCAAGGGGCATGAGCAATCATGTGCCCATAACTTTTACTGTGTAGTCGCAGAATGTCGTTCGTGAGTGTAGTGAAAGGGATTGTCCAGTTCAAATTTTGTGTTTGAGAAAACAATGGAATATCATTGTTCTTGTCTTGAAATGCGTCATCTGTGCAATATTTGAATTTTATATGCCCTTCTGCATGAATAATTGAATTTTAAACTGCTCCAATCTCATCTTAGCATAAACGGTGCTTTCGTTGGCTGGATGGGATGCAACCGGAGGGAAGCTGAACACAAAAGCGGAGGTCTAGGCATGTTAGTTAAAGGACAGGACTGGGAAAGAGAGAAGGAAAGCTGCAGAGAACACTTATGGTTAAAAGGTAGGGTAACAGGCCTCAACACTCTTCTGGGGTTTGCTTACCTGAAAACAGGAAATGACTCGAGGGAGGAAAATACAGAACACTTCACATGTATATCGAGGGACATCAGAGAAATTGGCCTTAAAGGGATACTTCAACGGAATTTGAAATATTCCTGTCGTGTTCAAAAATAGGTTGAATATGATCCACAATATCCGTAAATCACAATCGCACATTTGTATTTTGAGCTTGGTGGCTGTATTTTTCGTTATAAACGGCCCACTCTGGCAAGCGCTCGGAGAAGGCCCAGCGGAGACCACGTGACATCCAACGCAATCGTGACGTAGGTCGTCTCAAGCTACGGCGAGGCTGACGTCGAGAGGATGGCCTAGTCATTCCAGCCACCGAAGCGGCTGCTTTTGTACAAATTTTGAGTGACGGGTTAATCTTCTGTAATCTTGTAGGGGGACAATAGCGACTTTTGCGACACACAAAAGGCATTCTCGGGAAGAGGGGAGTTCCTCCTGTCCCTCTTCTCTCGTTGTGGCCGGAGACGAGACAACCTCAGTCACTAGCTGTCAAGGTTCCTAGACGGGCATTACAAGCGAGGCGTTAGCGACATCCACCAGGTGTTCTTTGCTAATCGTTTAATTCATTTTAAAATTCCTTTTCGTGACTTTTTTATCAAGATATTGGTATGTTCGATGTGATGCTGCTTTTTTGAACACATATAGACCAAAAAATGAGCGCCAACATTTCGTTGTAGTATCCCATTAATCAGGAAATAATTATCATAGGAGACATGAATGACCATTTAGAAGAGTTTGATGGATTCACAGATACAACTGGAAAGTTGCTATAGTCGGTTACAAGTCAAGAAGGTAGGAGAAGCTCCTCCCACAAGTGTGATGCGCCTGTTTCAAATCTCTCCGCAGTCGAAAGAAGAGTTCACTGGAAACGCTCCTTGTTCCGCTTGAATGGGTTCTCACTTGCCTCCGGTCCCACTTTTTCAGAAAGCGACCTTTGTATTCATCAGAGAGGGAACCGAGCCCCTGAAAGCAGCCTTTGTATCCATCGGGGGGGAAGCTAATCCCCGAAAGTCGTATTTGTTTCCGTCGGTGGGGGAGAACTCTAATCTCCCTCTCGTGGCTTCTACAATGCTAAGTCAAAGTCGACAGATAAAGCAAATATGTACAGAAAGGCAAGACCCTTATCGCGCGTTGGCTGCGACGTCACGGAAACGGTGGGACGCTATTGGATGCGGAGGTGGCGGAGGGATATCTGATTCCCTTTGAGGGGCATTTGCCGCTACCTTCTTAACCTGTAACTGACTATAGAAGATTTTTGTGATGCCCTTGGCCTAGTGTTAGTAAACGCACAAGTAAAATGCGACGGCAAAAGAACTTGGGAACGAAACAACACACACTTAACAATAGACTACTGCCTATTGCCGTTGAGACGGCAATCTACTGCCGTTGAAACGTTGTGTTGTGTTCGTCCCCTTCTGTGTTCCTGAGTCTCAGGTTTTATTACCATGAATCATCACCAGCTCGCTTGTTTTTTAAGTATTATTGCAGACATACCCATGAAACTCATTAGGACACTAGGAAAAACCAACAAATTGAAGTTACGACATGTGATAAATCAAATATTTATGGGAGAAGAGGTGCCCAAGGATTGGAAACTGAGTAAAATGATATATAGTAAAATGATTAAAAGGATATAAATGCTAAGAAAACAAAGACAACATTAAGTCGTATCACCCAATAACGGTAACTTCAGTTCTATATAGATTAGCTTTGCAGATAGTAAAGCGGTGAATGGAGGAATGGGCAGAAGATATGCAAATATTGGATGAGCTCCAAAATGGATTCCGAAGAGATAGAAGACTGGAAGAAAACTTATTTGTCACCACACAATGTATAGAAATAGCAATGAAGAACCAGACTCCTTTGTGGTTAGCTTATTTGGACATCAAGGGAGCGTACAATTACATGAGCCAGGAAAAGCTCTGGAGTCAGCTGAGCGAATATAACTTAGATGCATATTTGGTTGGGTTTCTTCAGCAGGTGTACACAGACAATAAGGTAATTATACCATGGGAAGCAGAAACTACACAACCCGCAGCGATAAAAGGAGGGCTCAGGCAGGGCTGTCCACTGTCACCTCTGCTTTTCATGATATATCTCAGTGAAATGGAAAAGAAATTAGAGCAGAGCAACTTAGGTTTTGATGTGAGTTATATGGAAGGAGGGAGAAATGTAGTACAGGACTGATGTATGCAGACAACATAGTACTTATGGCAGATAACCAGGATACGTTACAGGTGGAATGTGTGGAGAGGAAGGAGACACATTGGGCATGAGTTTTAGTAGTGACAAGTCTGGAGTAATGGTGTTTAACGACGAAAGGAAAGAACCCCTGAGGATGCAAGACATTGAAATAGACCAAGTAGGAAAATACAAATATCTGGAAGTCTGGCTCAAGGAGGGAACGAAATATCTAGAGGAACATGAGGAGAATATAATTAGAAAAGGGAAAAGAAATTCATCTGTTATGAAGCTCAAGCTATGGAACTATAATAGATATGAAGTAGTCGGAGGTATATGGAAAGGAATGATGGTACGAGGACTGTCTTTGGCAATGGGGTACTGTGAATGAAATCAGAGGTTCCAACAGGATTGGAAATTGGACAAAGAAGCGTAGGCAGACTGGTGCTGGGAGCACATGGAAAGACACCAAATGAGGGTGTACGGGGGGACATGGGCTGGTCGTCTTTTGAAAGCAGGAAGGCAATTAGTAAGTTGAAATTTGAACAAAGGTTGACCGAAATGGATGATACGGGCACGTAAGGTATTTAAGTATTTATACATAAATATTAAAGTGTACGGGGGTTCGTCCTGCCCTCCCTCAAGGGGTAACAGATCTGGCCAGGGAACTGGGCTTCGCTTGCGATGATGGAAGGACGGAGGAGAAGAGGATTACAGTCACAAAGAGGCGGTTAGAAGATTGGTGGAAATTATCTAGGGAAAATTGAATGACGCACAACTATCTAGCACACCCGGGAACAGGCGGGACAGAGGAAGATTGGGACTCCCTCCCGTGTGGCTCCGGCCCAAAGTCTCAACCCTCTCCCCCAGCGGGTCCGGTGCAGGGGTATCGCCGACAAGGTTTGACCAGAGGAAAATTGGCGACTCCCTCGCCGGGGGGAAGAGGAGGCGGGGGGGGTGATGTTTTTAGTTTTTTTGCCCAATCCCCCAAAGGCCATCCTGGTGATATCCCACACTACCTGGTAATAATTCGGAGCTAGAAAATTGGCTTAGAAGGGCGGGAGGAATCAAATGTTCAACTTTCTTAGACTTAAAGCTAGGTGGCGCAAGCTACCGCCCGCTAGAAAGGGCAGTAACATCCATCCATCCATCCATCCATCCATCCCTAACGCAAAGTGAGCATTTCCGTCTCGTCATTCTTACTGCAAGTGAATGCCGCAGCGTGCTTCATTTTCGTTGTTGTGCTCGACTTGTTTCGTGGATGGGTAAGATTCTTGTTGTGCGGTTGTGTGCCACAGCCACCAGGCAGCACTTGTGATCCACGAGACATGCAGCAATGAGCAAAATGAATTGTCACCGTGCGAAAGGAGCACTGGGTTCCCGTCAAGATCGAGATCCCATTTATGCAGCAATCATTTCACAGAAGAGAGCCACGAGTTGAGCTCTAAGCAGACAGGAGGCTCACGAGCTGAGATGTGATGCTGTGCCAATGATATTCAGCTGTGTCCACCCATTCCTTGCTCAAATCAGATCAATCGGTTTGATTATGCAGCGAAACCGAAACCAAAAGCAAGGCCATCTCGAAACAGTGCCAAAAGTTAGATTTAGCATGCGTGCAGCCCGATTCTGTTTGACGCACGTGTGAAAATGGAGCGGGGCAACGATTCACCAAGCTCTTCATAATCAAGTGACAATCCAGAAATATTTCATGCAATTTGAACGATTACTGTAAAGTTACGAAAGAATGCCCACCGAAAATGAAGAGATAAATGGTGAAAAACATGGGGTCGGCATCTTTGGGGATGTCACAGCGAAGCTTTATCAAAAATTAATGATAAACATCTTGGCATCAGCTACAATTAGCGCCAGACAGGGCGTCATATTGTTAATAAAGTTTGACACCACCACCACCAGCTACAAACCACGTGACGCGGGAACTGATACCGCAGATCACGGACACCGCTATTTCGCGTTTCACGATGCGAGAAACAGGCTGGAATTCGCTACGAACTCCTGTGTCACGGGAAAGGATACTGCAGGTTGTAGATGCATCAGATTCGTGTTTTACAGCGTGAAAGGCCCGCAAAAACCCACCGAGAACTTTTATCTCACGGGGAACGGATACCAAGAATTGCAAACGCAGCAGGTTCAAGTTTTATGGTGCAATAAACACGCTGGAACTCTCTACAAACTTGCCTGTCACTTGAATCGATATCGAGCACGCGGACAAAAACGCGGGGATTTGCTACAAGCTCGTATGTTACGGGAACAAATGCCGCAGATGACAAACGCAGCAGAATAATATTTCACTATGCGATATACATCTGGGACCAACTCTCGTGGAATCAAGATTGCGGACAAAAATGCGGGAATTCGCTACATACTTACCGTATTTACTCGCGTATAGGTCGACCTGTTTTTCAAAAATCGCCTCATCAAAACTGGGGGGGTCGACCAATACGCGAATCCCGGTATTATATTTTTCAACTTTTTTTTTTTTTTCGGGGGTCCCGAAGTTAGGGGGTCGACCTATACGACGTATCGACCAATATGCGAGTAAATACGGTATGTCACGGGAACGGATACCGCAGATTGCGGACGCAGCAGATTCGCATTTCACGGTGTACGCGCAGGAACAACTCGCATGCTACGGGAGCCGATATCGCGTGCGCAGATGGCGGACAAAAAACGCAGGAACCCGCTATGAACTCGCTTGTCAGACGTACCAGTACAGCAAATTGCACGCATTAATGCGATTCCCACCGGACGTTGTGTGCCGCTTCAGGGGCAAAATCTGCATCCTCTTTGCAAGCGCTCCTTGTCCGATCGGTGGGCGTCGCAGTTGTTACTTGTGTATGCACAAAATGGCATACATTTCCTCAAAGCTAACGACTGTTTTTGAGTAATATCCTGCTAAAAGACGCAACTTTTTTGCACACGCTTGGGAACTGTATTGTAAGAAACGAGCTGTCCTTCTTAGGTGACCCCGCTTTTTTGCTTCTAGGGTTGATGAGTGTCGTTCGGAAGTTGGGATCTGTTTCTGCTTTGTATAAATAGAGCCGTTCCGTAAATAAATCTTGCAGCTGAGTTTTCAGACATCGTTATGCTGTTCCTTTTTTCTTCTCTTTGTTCCCTTGTTTCGGGGTTTATAAACATGAGGAGGTCAATGTAGCAATATTTCAAAGCCATATTGCTTTGCTTCTACAGCAGCAGCTTGAGAAGTGAGCGGGTGCATTATCAGCGAGGGGAACTTTGGAGAGCTTACCACGCCGTTTTTGCTTCAGAGCATCTCGCAGTTTATTCAGCATTGAGCACGAATATGCGCTATTTCTTTTATTTAAGGTAGTCTGTCAGGGCAACTCCACGACAATCCCAGAATACCGACAGCACAGCCTTCCCTACGGACATTTGCACCTTGTCCTTTTTGGTAGGAGGAGAATAAGAGTGCTTCCACTCTTGACTCATCTCTTTGGTCTCCAAATCGTAAAGGTAGATCCAACATTCGTGCATGGTTACCAGACAACATAAAAAAGTGAAAGCCGTTTACAAATCCCTGTAACGCCGGATTGGAGCGCAGCTCTTGAGGAGGAGTAGGGAAGGGTACTGAGGGGGGTCACGTCACGTGCGGGTAGTCACGTGACCCCGGGGGGTCACGTGACCTCGGGGGGGGGGGGGGGGTCACACAACCTCGGGGGGGGGGGGGGGGGGGGGGGGTCACGTGATCCCCCCCCCCCCCGGTTACGCCGACGCCGCTCAGGCTGGAAACGGGCCCCCTAAGAGCTGCGCTCTAAAAAAGATCCCCTGTGTCATGCTTCAAAAGAGTGGGCCTCTGCCTTGACTGGTCACACCGTGTTTGCCTGTTGAGTGGAGTTAGCAGGCGAGGTACCCAGCGTGCAGACACCTTAAGCCTGTGCAGTTTGTTGCGAAACATCTTCCACATGCTACCATAGCTTAAGCCTGTTTTATGTGCGATCATTTGAAGGGTTACTTGTTGATCATCCAGAATGAGATCTTCAACTGTCTTCACTGTGACCGCATCATTGGTAAAAGAGGGCCGTCCAAATCTAGGATTGTCTGCGAGAGACTTGTGACCAGTTTGCACATTTCTTTTTCACCTAACAACAGTGGTGTATAATGGACAATCATCACCATAAACAGTCTTCATTTCATTGTGAATATACTGGGCACTATAGCCCTTCCAATGTTGAAAATTTATTATGCTGCGAGCCTCAATCTTTTTCATCTTCCAAATTACTTCCCACCACCTGCAAAAAAAAAAAGTATTAAAACGGCGTTTGCATTATTATATACGTAGACTTCAATAATTATACTGGCAGAAATTCACTCACATAGGTCTAATAATTATACATAGTGATCAAATCTTTTTGATACCCCCTCATACTAATGTAATATCAGATGACTTTCCAATTTCCAACATGTTTAACTGTTTTTTGTACCACGTCTAGAAGCTTAAAACATAATCATCTGTCAAACTCAATTTACATATGCCTTGTCGTGTTAGAAAACAAAACTGCTGTGATTGTCGACCTGGTTCCTTAGTGTGTCGCAGACCGTTTGCGGTTTCGCCAGAGGAGTGTTCCACTTACTTTCTTGTGCATAGCCTAAGTGCAGCTAAAGTACTCTCCATCTGATTTTGATCTACATAATTCAGTGAGTGAAATAGGGTGGAAATGATCTACTATACTTCCAGTTTCTAATTGTTGTGGCTGTGCTTATTTTGGTCTCCCAAACTGACACAGATTTTATCTCATCACATAGGTCTAGACACTGAAGGCATTTACCGTGTCTCTGGGTTCAGCGATGAAGTTGAAGCTCTGAGGATGGCTTTTGAGAAAGGTGAGGAGGCTATCTCCTGTGTTTTTACTCCAGCAGAACACAGATGCTCGTCTTTGTTCTAACGGATGCCTCCTCTATTCTCAGACGGAGAAGCTGCTCCCCTGAATGCCTCCACTTATGAAGACATTCATGTTATAGCTGGGGTTCTGAAACTGTTTCTGAGGTTGCTACCCATCCCCCTCATCACCTTTGACAGCTACACAAAGTTCTTCGATGCCGTCAGTAAGTGCCACAGGCATTCCTTCGCTGTAGTCACTCGTGCCTTGTTGTTGGTTTTCTGAAAAAGCAACTTTACACTAGGCTACTTCTGGTAACTTCATGCCCTGGGGGAGGTAATCTTCGTAAAAGGAGAATGCCTTTTTCACCCACATTGTGCAATGAAGTGAAAGCAATAGCTATAGCACGTTCACACAAAGCCGACAAAATGGTGTTCTCATAACTGAGAGCGGTATGGGCATTCCTTTGCTGTAGTCACTCGTGCCTTGTTGTTGGTTTTCTGAAAAAGCAACTTTACACTAGGCTACTTCTGGTAACTTCATGCCCTGGGGGAGGTAATCTTCGTAAAAGGAGAATGCCTTTTTCACCCACATTGTGCAAAGAAGTGAAAGCAATAGCTATAGCACGTTCACACAAAGCCGACAAAATGGTGTTCCCATAACTGAGAGCGGTATGTGACGACACTATTTTGTCCGCATTGCACGAAAGGGCTACAGCTATCTCCTTTACTTAGCGCTTTGACAGGAAAACATGCGTCGAGCAAATTTGCAGGTTTTCTCTGTGTTGTTGAGCGGTGAAGAGAGGGAGTAATGCTGATGTTCAGCGATGAGCCGAGAGGGGAACGCAGGCACAGAAAGGAGACAGGTGCAAGTCATTAAGTTTTGGCAGAACATATTTTACGTCTCGAGTTGCGTTCGAGAAGTAGGGATGTCATGTTGAAATCGAACGCGGTGTAAGTTTCTAAAACTCCTCGAACGTTACGCGTAGCCACTGGATACTGCCAAAGTGAGATTCTGCATAATGCGAGTTATGTTTGAAACATCTGTGTTAAAGTTATTGTTAGCAGACGACGCTTCTTCATCGTTCCGCCGTTATTGGCAGTTCGTTGCAGCTCTCCCTTCTTTGTGCGGCGCGGCCCATGGGAACTCCCACCTTGTCTCTTGTTGCGCCATCGAGGGACAGTAGAAGGGTTTTTCCATCTCCGCTGCGACGGCAGATTTCAAACGCCATCACCGAAATCCATGCAAAGTGTCGCCAGTAAATTTTAAACAAGTCTTAGAATGAGAACGGACAGTTTGATAGGAGACCTATAGTGAGTTCTTTGGGGCCTTGAAGTATTTACAATATAAGGGGGGTAGCAACTTTATTGTCATTACACTCGCAGACAACTTTCCGTTGCATTTCAGAAGTGAAGGGTATACATGATCAGCTTTAATGGGCACTCAAGATGTACAAATGCATGTGAGCCCTTAGCTTTGACATCAAGTCCAGAATGCATCGAATTCGCAGAATGCCACACAAAGAACCGGTCCCAAACGAACTTGCCAAATGCACAGAGTGCAGCCTGATGCTGTCACCATCTATGTTGTAGTAAAGGCTCCTTCACACAGTTGCGTTCGAGTGTGACTGCAAGACTTGAGCCTCGTTAAGACTGCTTCTGTTGAGCTGTTACTTTGGCGACACTTATGGCAAGCCAGTGGGGAGGCGCTGTGCTGCACAATCACAATGCAGTGCAACGCGGTCGACGCAAGTGTGTGAACCAGCCTTAAGTACAGACCTAAAACCGAAACTAGTTTCGACTCAGCAGGCAGGAACACGATAGTGCAGTCGCTGGAGCGTTTAGTAGTTTATATTTGTTATGACTTCAAACAACTCTACGGTTACGGAGATATTTTAAGACGCTGTAAGGTTCCACAACCATCAGATCGATAAAACTGCTGTAAGAAGTTACGAAAGTTGAGTGATAGTTCAATTCTATTAAGGGGGGACACTGGCTAGAGGTCAAACTTTTTAACTACTCAAGTGATCGGAATGAAATTTGCAGGGGAGATTTAGCATCAGATGTAGGTGTACTGTGCAAACTTTCAGCTCTTTAGGACTAATTTACATACCTGCATAAAGTGAGGTGTCACTTTTCAATAAGAAATCTGATATGCAAATGAAGCTATTAAGAATCATTTTAACTGCTTGAATATAAAGTGGGGATGTGGGACTTTGGGCTATCTAGTTTTTATAACTCAAATGTAAATATTTCAGGAAGAGTGATTACCTCAAACTATGAGATGCATATCTGTCTTATGTCAATTTTTGAAAACTTAGTTTTTTATCACTGAGGACTTCAACATAAAACAAAATAAAGTAGATAGCCCGATTCCTCAGTAAATTTCAGTTCAGAAACATCTTCATTGTGGTATCAGAATACTTTCACCTTCGAACAAAAGATTCTTTCGTATGAAATTTGCAGCAAAACGTGGAACTGAGAAAAGTACATTCAAACATTTAATTCCTTTACTTTGTTACTGCCTCACAATGTGTTGAAAATATTTTATATCAACGTGACTATTTGGCATATGGTTATCAAATTTGGTGTAAGGGTGTATAATTAGTTTCTAAAACTGAAAACCTCAAAATTAAAAAATGAGTTTTTTCAAAAAAATTTAAAATTTAGGCCCATGTCCCCCCTTAACTGTTTACACTGGACAAAACTGGATAGTGTATGTGCAGAAGCAGAACCCCTGAAAGGATAGAGCTCAAAACTTGTCTGTCAGAATCTCTAAATTTTTTAAATAATTCGATTTGCTTCACTTTCCATTTCAGTGGTCGTACGCATACAGCTGAATCAAATTTTATCCTTGGGAGTGTTGAGAACAAGAGCTTTCTCAAACAAAATATGGCATTCCAAAATAGCTTGTTTAGGTAAACGTTAAACATGGTGATTTTACCCAAGCCTCGGGTAAAATCACCATGTTTAGCTTTCTCGGCTGTTGATTGGATGTGAACCATGTTTCTGCCGGGCAAGCTTCGTCAACAAATGTCGTCTAACTTTTCGCCTGCACAATGATGGTGAGAGACTTCGTGGCCGCTAGTGTGTTTGTCTCGAGCCTTTCTTTACCTACCGAAAGATTTCAGCATCTGTACGGGCAACAAAACAACTCAGACTTCGCAAATAATGCACGGGTTGTTGATTGCTTCCTTCATGAAATATCAGGCACTCGCAATTCAAGCTTGCGTTTCATTCTGTCGCCCACGGGATGCGATTCCTAGTGGAAAATCCACTTTTGTTCTTCAGTTCTGCTAGCTCTGCCAGGCGCAAACAACACCTTGTACTAGAAGAACCCTCGTCGTCTGCTCCCGCTTCTCACCTGAGCGATGCGCAACGAAATTGCATTGTGATGCACGCTCGATTCTCTCGATGTGGCAAGTACATGCATTTGTAAAGTGCCGGCGCCGAAACAAACTTGGAGAGCGCTGAAACAAACTTTCTATTAAACTCGGATTTAAGCTACTTCAGCATTGATAATGCTTTGTAGTACTCTTTGGCTGCCCTCTCTGTTTATTGTTTGACTTTGTGTGAAAATTTTAGGTGACAGTACTATACACCAATGCCTAATATGCTTGAATTTCCTTCCTGTAAGAAGTAATCTTGGGGGTTGCAAAATGTTTCTTGTAACTTAAGGGGGCGGTGCAATAATGTTCAGGAGGAACGTTTTCACTTGAGTGCTTTAGTGGGACCCAAGTACACTAGCACGCATTTCCACTAACCAAGAAAGCTCTTTGTTGCAGTGTAATTTCAAGGATAAAAACTAGCATTTTATTTCTATCTGCTTCGCAAAACTTAATGACAAAGTTGTGGGGGGATCGCATTGTTGATCCTTAAGATTTTGTCATCAAGCTTTGCTATCGCCACGGAGAGCAAAGCGGTTCCTATAGTGGACACGAATACTGTGTGAGCATTCGATTTGGGCTCGTGACAATCAACGCCTCAACATGCATTCAGGTCGTGGCTCATGCCCAACCGCTGCAATGGTGGCAGTAGCCGAAACCTAACAATGTCTGGAGCTCAGCTCGTGTCCTGTACCTTGCCAACCCCAGCACGCGGCTATGATTAAAGCGCCGTTCACACACTTGCAACCGAGTAGGACCAAGAAAGACAAGTCTGGTTTTTAAGCCTCTCGTGATGGCGCAAGACCTGCTCTGCAGCAGTGCATCCGGTCCTAAGACGTTGCACGAGGCTTAAAAACCGGTCTTGTCTCTCTCCGTCCTGCTCGGTTGCAAGTGCGTGAACGGCACTTAACATTGGCGGCATATAATCGACTCTAGATCATGTGGCCGCTTGTTGTGGCTGCGAGTTGAGGGGATGAAAACCTGCTCATTTTTCTTTGATTTTTTCTGCAACCACCATTGCATATAGGAAAAAGAGTAATGCAGGTTTTATAAGTTGATACAGTTTGAAACCTTTCATGATGTTCCGTTCTTCGATTACTCCTTTGTCATGGTGTTAAATACATTGCAAATGTAGTCCTGTGCAGGGTGGGACCTGGTGCTGCGATAATTTCCAAGTGTGTGTAGGTACTTGAAAACTATTTTTTTCTTGCTTCTTAGAGAGCAACAAGGTGGAAGAAAAGCTGGATGCCATGAAGGAAGCCGTCAAGTCACTGCCTCCTGCCCACTACCAATCCCTGAAGTACCTCATGAGCCATCTTCAGCGGTGAGCATTGCCTTTTCCACTGATATGAAGCAACATTCCCTCCTAGATTTGCATGTAGTCTAAATTTTTCTGAGAGACAAGAGTGATTTTATGCTAAAATATAAGTTTTAGAGGAGGGAAGGTGGAGTTTGAAATATTTTGAGTTTATGTCCCTTAATGGTGAAGACCATTAGGGGTTGCCCAGCGAGCAACTCATTAGTGACTACCTATCTGAGGATTTTGGTGAAGCACCATTTGCATGGCATCTTCATCAAGCCATGGCCTGCATGGCTGGGTTCAAGCCTGCTTTTGCAAAGCTCTACAAGTTGGAATGTTGGCTCATTGGGACTGAGCAAACTTTCAGAGAGAGGAGGTGCGACTTAGCCATTCCTTCAAAAACCTTAGTTGAGGATATAACATACTGGTGACACGAAAAACTATTTCTGCACGCCTCTGCCGAACCAGATCAAAAGCCGCACGTCCGTGTTGCTACCCTCAGAAAGGTTAGCCTACATTGCGTGCGCCATCATTGCTGGTGAACCTGACAAAGCTACGAGCGTGCATTTTCAGCCCTCCATCCAATCAAACTGAAAGGTCAATGAGGCAGAATAACTTAATCTGGGAAGTGCTCCCACTTATGGTGCATTTGCTTGAAAGATGTTTATCGGCAGAGAAAGCAGAGTATGGGCATAGAGCCGTGAGGAGGGAAAGCCACAAAAATGAGAACAATGCTCAGAAAATCTGAGTGACCCCTCAGACGGCAAAAGTCACACATAGTTGAGTCAGAGGAGTCTTTTTTTTATTTATTTTTTTCGTGAATATGTTCACGACCTTCAAAGTTTCGTAACAAAAGTCGGGGAAGGAAAAAAAGAAAGAGTGGCATCTCGCAGCTCGATGCTGCTGACCATAAGCCTTCCCCAAAAGGAGGAGGACCGGTCACTTTGACGGGACGACGGATATTCCGCGAGCCGGTGGAAGATTCTCCGCAGCCTGCTGCGGTTCCACATGGTTAGCAAACATTCGTGATGCACGCAACCTCGAAACTCGACGACATTTAGTCCCTCCTCAGTGAAAAAACCTTGGCACGCGAATACGCCGTCAGGTTCTTTTTCGGTCACACTCATCGGCTCCGTGCAGCGTGAAACTCGCGCTCGGCTCGGGAGCTGACAACCCGACTTATGCCGACGTCGCCTGTCACGCAGGGTGTCGGAGCACCAGAAGAAGAACCTCATGTCCCCGAAGAACCTGAGCACGGTGTTCTCTCCAACGGTGATGCGCACTCCGGACATCATGGGCATGGGGCTGGACCAGATGAGTGCCTGGCACACAGAGAGTGCCGTCGTGGAGCTGCTCATCAGCTACAATCGGACTGTGTTCGTCCAGTAGTCCCCCCTCGCCGCACGCTCGTCGAGAGTGCCTGGATGGCGTCTCCGCCCGGATGGTGCCCGGATGGCGTCTCCGCCCGGCGCGTCCAAAAAAAAAAAAGTGGTCCCTTGATCCTCGACCGACGATGTTGTAGAAGCATCACGCCGACGCTGGCCCTGATCTCGGCAGCGTCGCGGCGGTGACGGCAGACGTGGCGGACGCCCACGGAGGCAGGAAGCTTCCAGAGGCAACGCAACACCACCAGGAGTGAAGCCGGAAGTGCGGAGGGACACGCCTCCGACGACGACCAATAGCAAGAACCGGCGTTGTACGAAAAGGCCTTTTCGTCCAATGGCATCTCTTGGTTTTGGTCGTCGTCGGGGGCGTGTTCCTCTATGCTTCCGGCTTCACCTCTGGCGGCGTCGCGTTGCCTCCAGAAGCTTCCTACCTCCGTGCAGACTCCCATTCTGCTGCAGGCGGTCGCTTTCCAGTTCGACTGACCGCGGAAGCTTCGGTGACTGGGGGTCGGGATGCCGCAACGATGGCGACGCTCTCGTTTGCTCATGCTTCTTGCCGGGTCTTCCACGACCGACTACCGTGATCACCACGTCTGACGGCGTGACGCTTTTGCGACATCGTTCGTTGCCACTTTGGGACCATTTTCGATGCGTGGGCAGGATGGGACGCCGGACGTGCCGGTCGGAGACACGTCCATAGCACCGTAAGCCTCATGGAAGCATCGTCCTCCAACCAAAGAGTTCCCTCGTTCTCAGGTCTGTGTCTCTGGTCGTTTTACGGGAAGAACTTACGTGGGACTCGGGAAGAACTTACATGGGACTCGTTCGTGTGGTTCCAGAAACTGAGAATCTCCCAATGTTTGGGCACTTTGTGAACTGATATGATTGGAGCTCCGGTTCCATGGCGTGCAGTGAATGGTCTTGTAAAAAGCGACTGAAGGTGGCTCCATTGACTTGTTCTCCGTAGATGTTGGTGTCTGTGGCCGGTGATGCATAATGGGAGCTCTGAAACTTTATATTGGCAGCAAGAATGTTGGGGGCCCTTAAATTTGGCCCATTTGGCCATTTGCAAACTTTGTGACAAAAGTGTAACAAATTTCCTGGTGAAAAAACAAAACAAAAAGCATGCACCTGTACGACCCATTTCCCATAACACCTTAAGGAAGACCCATGGGATGAAAGATTGGAAAATGATAGTTTTATCAGTGTACTTAACAATTTTAAGTGGTTTGAGAGAACCTCCCATATCTCATATGCATGAAATACACAAAATATCAAGGAACACGGCAGCAACAAAATATTGTTGCTGCCATGCTGCGACAGTAGTTTGTGTTTTCTACTTGTTTGATGTATTTGATTAAAATGTGGTGGACAACCATAGCCCTACAAAAATGTAACCAAAAAAAAAAAAAAAATTTTTAGGTTAGGTGGTGCAAGTTACTGCCATTATATAGGATAAAGCTGTTAATATCCACCTATCCATCTATCAATGATCTGTGCGTTTTTGCTAAAAATTTTGTCACATGGTTCTTTCATATGGTCTTATGGGCTATTGTTCATATAGGCGCTTGCGGTATTTTTCCAATGAGGTATTGGAGAACTCTGACAAGGTATGCAGTCATAGAAGTGTCTGCCTATGTTACACTTTTTGTAATGTCAAATTCAGAGCGTGTTTCAAGAAACAGATGTTTAACGCTAAACAATCATTGACACACAAGACGCACCATTGGAACATATTTGTAAAGTCACCTTTTGTAGTTACTTTTGCACTTGCTTCATAAAGTGGAAGATCGCTTTTCACTCTTCATTTGGTCGCCGCGACTTTGGAGCTTCAAGTTTAATTATGTCTGGTACCGAGCCAACTCACCCACACTTAGTTTTGTTTCCCTGAGGTGCCACATTAAAGGTTTCAGGTTGGTTGTTGTGAAGATTGCCCTCCTTGTAGGAGTGCTCATAATGCAGGTCTAAACCCTTGCACTTGCACTTAGAGCCCTTGCCGTTTGCCAGCGGATATAGCTGGAGTGTGGGTGCTGACAAAAAAAAACGGCTGAACTCCCTATATGCTAAGGAAATGCGTCGTATTGCGAGCACTGCAGCTGACTCGGTTTGTTGTAGCAAAGAGAAAAGTGCCGTCGGAAATGTCCGCACTATAGTCACTGGCAGAACGAGAACAGCAGGGTGCGTCTTTTGGAGGCCCAACCTCCGGCACGTGCTCCATGTCTTCCGCTGTGCTTTGGCTGCGCGCGCACACTCGAGGTGCACTAGACGCCGAAGCATTGTCGAAGGTAGAAAGCTCACGCCAGGGGTGGGACAACTAAGGTTCCTTTCCGGCGGTCTCGCCTTGCCAGTGACTAACCAATGTTTTTGGAAATGGTTAGCACACAGCTCAAGTTTGTGACCTTTGCAGAGAGAGATAACACCCTTGAGGTGGTCACAAAAATGGCCAAAGATTTTTTTTTACATGCCAAGTATGTATTATCTCAAAAGCACAGCACCCTTTTTTTGTTTCTTCCAGCGTGTTTGCATTGGCACGTATGGTTTGTGGGTAACCTTCCCCTTTTGTGGTTAGCCTAAAAATCTATTTTAGCTTTGCAGTCAAGGGTACACGTGCGCTCTTGGACAGTGCGGGCTGAAGTTGTCGAATCCCGGAGAAAAGCTCAGCGGAGAAAAGCTCACCGGAGAATAGCTCACCGGAGAAAAGCTCACCGGAGAAAAGCTCACCGCAAAACCTGCGGATGCGGAGAAAAGCTCACCGGCAATTGAGCGTAAGCGGAGGAAAGCTCACCGATTTTTTCCCCTCTGTTCATATGGAGGCTATTGGATCATGCCTAACATATATCAATTCATGATTATTACAATTTATCAGCTTTATAAAAAGGAAAATGTCCTTTTTTGTAATATTTGTTAAGCTTATCGGATATATTGTTTTTCGTGGTTTTCTCTCTAGGTAACGAAAGCCTAACTGAAAACTTTATGAACCTGGAGAACAGGAAAAAGTTCGGAAACTTAATATTGTCTGCCTAAAACCTAAAAAAAAAAAAATCAAAACGGTAAATGCCGAAAATTCCAAATATGCATGCGCAACAACGCGGTGCCCGAAAATCTCTGTGAAGCTTTTGTTAACCTTTGAAAACAGGATAGAATGGTCGCTGGGATATCGGGGTTTCTTTCTCCCACGGACATGCACGTTTTCAAGCCGTTCGTGCTGGTCCACACTTTGTCTTTGTGTGATAGTGCCCTTCTACGGCGAGCCACACATGAGCTTCAGAGCTGCACTCTGTCGCCATTGTTACTCGTGACCTACATAACAACTAGTCTTCTGTAAGGTAGCGAATTGGACGAGTTGGTAAGCGCTCAAACGACGAAGACGGAGTGAAGACAACAAACAGGACAGGACGAAGCTGTTCTCGCAACTAAAGTTTTATTACTAAAAATAACAAAAAAAAAAAAAAAAAACAGCGCAGCCGACACTGATTATGATGAATTAACACCTACTCAGTCTGTCAGGCACCATACAATCTTGGGAGCTGAAACGGTTCTCACACCGCTATTCATTCTAGCTCGCAAAAAAAAAAAAAAAGTATTTTTATCTGTTAGAGCTACCGATGGCGCACTGGGTGTCCGATGTTCTGATTTTATACTTGCGGCGTCATTAATACTTAGAACGGGTGATTACTCATTTCTGGGGAATTAGTAAATATGCCGAATAAACTTCAAGAATATTACAAAAAAAGGGCAATTATTTTTATTGAAGTGGTTTTATTTTTATTCGTGCTAAATTGCCACGTGTAACGCACAATCCGCTAAGCTAAGAAAGAAAAAAATCGGTGAGTTTTTTCTGCATCCGCTCAAAGGCCGGTGAGCTTTTCTCCGCATCTGCCGGTTTTGCGGTGAGCTTTTCTCCGGTGAGCTTTTCTCCGCCGCCCGAAGTTGTCGAGCGTGGATTTAAAAGATCTTGCGATGCTCGTGCAGTGCTGTGTCAAAGGGCTGGAGGCAGCTACAGAAATCTCAAATGCGCAGCCGCTCCTGTGGCTGGTCGGTGAACATTACTTTTTGTGTGCGCCGCTGGTGCCTTTATGTTGGTCCACTCAGATTGCAGCCACCACTGGCCAAGAGTTTATGGCTGATGAGGAACAGGACGTTTCTCTTAACTCGAATGCCGTTCACAAATCATACTGGAAGGTACATCATCTCTGGATCCAGCATGTGCATAAACTTTAAATTACCTATTCTGAATAATGGCATTTCAATATTTCTTTATTGTTTATGCGCTGCAAGCTGCTGTAGCTTTATAAAGCTTGATAGACCTTGAAGGGTATGGACCTAGATGGGTTGTGTGTTTTATATCAATCTGATATAAACATTTTTAAATGCTCAGTGTATGTACCCATTATAATAAAAAGCAGCCTAAAAATGTTTATAACATTCAGTGGGCAATGACCAGTAATTGCAGTATATGTGTTTAATCTAAAACCAACATTTGGTGTGTCGGTAAAACGTGAAGGGTTGCACTACTATCTGAAATGTTGAATCTCAAGTTTGTGTAGGTTTTCTGTGACCTTGACATTGTGTTATGTAATAACGGCTGTCAGTTATGCAAAAAGCTTTTTATTAGTGATTTTAAGTAACATCACACCACTAATGGTGCAGACAAACCTATGACATTAGCTTGTGATGTCAACATGTTGTTGTGATTGGATATACAAACTTGAACTTACATTGTTAACAAGTCTCCAAATTGACTGATAGTTTTCAGTCCTAGCTGTGCCTAATAGTTTTTGGCACAAAATTCTTTTACAGCTAACTTGAAGTGCATCTTCTTTTCATGCAGAAGCATTTTGTTACTGAAGCCCAAGCTACAGCATATGGGTGAAATATTCATGTGTGTTTTTTGAAGTTGGGACAATAGCAGGGTTTTCTACTTTTTCAGGGGCTTTGTTGTGCATGTTACTGTTGGTTTCTGGGAGTGCTGTCATGCTCTTCCACTTTGCACTCCTATGTAGTGCCCTGTAGATGAAAGCTAGGGATGCCAGACTGTGTGGTCTTTATTGCACCTAATTATGCAGCCTACAGAATGTTCCCTAAAATGTTTGTGTTGGATATACCCTGTATAATGTTATACCTATTAACTTTTCTTTCATGGTTTATTTGAAGGCATAACAAGACTGTAGAAGGGTAAGAAACTTTTTGAGGCAAGGTGAGATGGCCACAGTGACTGTTAGGGCCTAGCTAGTTTTATTAAATACTATAATTCCACTTCATTGTTTTATGTGTATAGTGCATTTGCACATACATTTTTGTATCACATCCAGTGCAAGATCACATTTATATTTTCCTTTCTTGGAAAGCTTGTTATATATAGTATTTGTAATTTATTTGTCATATTAACTTAAAATAATATTCACTGCTACGATGCCACGGGATGTTCAAACCCAATCTTTAATATGGTTTTTCAAGTCATTCCAATAAAAAAAGTAACCACATTTTATATACCACCATGTTTCTCTCAGTTTGTTTTGCAAGAAACAAACTTGTATGTACTTAATGCTGGAACAACTTGCATGAGGTTATATAGGGTGGTTCAAGTCACCAGGCTTGATCTAAAATGGACCGTAAAAATCGACGCCTGCACGTAACAATCTAAACTATTCGTCAAAGGTAGAATTCACAGGTCGGTTTTCTCTTGTAAAATTACAAAGCGTAGCTCTCTTTCTGTAAAAATTAAGGCCCAGAAACGTGCCAGGTCTACGGCGGCAAGCAACGCAGACGACGGGTCCAGTGGCAGGGTGTTTTTGGCGTTCGTATTGATAGATGGCGCTACCTCCTTATCGCAACAGCTTGCGATCACCGTGGTTTATAAAAATGAATATAATCTTTTTGAAATGTACCTTCGGTTAAAAATAAATGCAAACAATAAAAGCAAAACTTAAAATAAAAAAACACGTCTGCATAACAGCGGCGCTTTTGCTTCTAACGGATTTCGTCTGCGTGTTGTCTGCTATCTTTCGCTGGTCGGCTGCACCTTCAGACGCTGCTCCCGACGCCATCTATCAATAGGAACGCCAAACACACCCCGCTACTGGACCTTGTCGTCTGGGTCGCCGCCCGCCGTAGACCCTAGCAAGTTTCTTGGCCCTATTTTTTACTAAAAGAAATCTACGCTTTGTTATTTTACAAGAAAAAACGGACCTGTGAAATACACCTTTGACGAAAAGTTTAGATGGCTACGTGCAGGCGTCGATTTTTACGGTCCATTTTAGATCGAGCCTGGTGACTTGGACCACCCTATAGATGAAGAGTATGTCACCCTAGAAAGGAACTGTCTGGACATAGTTGTTTCAAACCATCTCAAAACATGGTTTTGTTGGACTTCATGAGCTGTGATATCAGTAACTGAAAGCTTGCTGTGAGGAAATTTTGCAGAATTATTTTTTGGAAGTAGACATGTGAGAGTATTGCAAACTTTTGAATCTCATTATTATTACTTTATTTTCAGTGCTGCACAAGCAGCTGTGTGCCTGCACCAAGTTGAGGAAACAAAGGCAGCAATGGAAAAGCAAAAGCTAAATGCAAAAGAGAAATATGTTTTTGTACCAGTGTGAAATGAAAACATCAATACAATATTGAAACGTGCACTCACATCCAAAAATAGCACTGCCGAAAATGACATGTGTAGATGTAAGATTGTTGGGAACCATTTGAAGACGAGTAATGTGGTCAGTATTATATAAATCAGAAAGGTAAAAGAATGAGCGAACATGGCTACGCTTTTTTGGAACACGCACATACACAGTTCAGCGGTGCTGTAGGATCAAAAACTATTATTATTAATAACAATTATTAAGTACCATTTTAATGAATGCAACTCTTGACCACAAATATGTTTGAGTCTACCTCAAAGCTGTCAAAATGCAAATACAGTAATCCCTCACTATAACGAAGTCAACGGGACGGCAAAAAGGGTTGATATAAGCGGCAATTCAATAAAAGCGATAGAGCAAAAAAAAACAAAAAAAAACAGTGCCTTGAAGGTGGACGGGAACGCTACGGTACACTCCAACTGTATATTTATTCAAACAAACCTTGCTTATGAACATCTTGCGGCAGGTTTACCGAGTAGAAAAATAATTTAGTGGAGTTTACCGATAATTTCATCCGGGTATCAGTTCTCCTTGAACTGCTCCAGGCATTGCAAGAATACAGTCACTGCCGCTGCACTCCACTTTGCTTCGAAGCAGCCGTAGGATGTTTGTGTCTCCGCAGCCATCTGCGTTTCCCCAAGGTGCTTTTCCAACGTCGTTTCGTGTTTATCCTGGCCGCACGCAAGGTCAACGATCGCAGCATTTGTGGCAGGAGCAACAATGGGAACGTCCGCATCAACAAGTGCGAACAAATCAAAGTTATCCTCAGTCACTTTGCCTACATGTTTTCACACACTCCTGTAGAGATTGTTGCAGCTCTGGGAATCTTGCGCCGGCTTGGCAAGCATGCTCGCAAGAGAAAATCGGACGGTCGCAAAGCAGTTGGCGATTTTTTATCTTCGGGTCGCAGGCACACTTTCTCTTGCATGAGAAACTTCTCAAACCCGTCCAATATCTCGCTTGTTCTGCAAAATGGTGGACAGTGTCGAACAACCGATGCCGGAATGTTGAATTCTTTGGTGCTTTCGGACTTGGGCTGGCCACTTTTCTCAGCCTCACAGATCTAGGCGACATTCGATAAATGCTCCCAATCTCCCATACGACACGTGTGAGTGAGTGTAGCACAGAGTAAGCAAGCCCATTGGGGGCTCTCGAAGGGATGATCTCTTCCGGGCTCCATAGCGCCCTTGACCCGATTCCAACAGGAGCCTGGCCGCGTCAACCGCAGTCACCGCGAGTAGCATCAGAACGTGAATGCTGCTTCCTGCCCATGTCGGTGGCGCATTGGCATCGGAAGCAGCACTCTGCCCTCCGTCACTTGTTCACTCCATTATCTTGTCTGCCGTTCGCCTCGGTGAGAAGGGGGTGGGAACGAAAAGGCCTTCATGCGCCCCC